AGCGTTAGCGGCAAAAGGCTTTAACTACATTTTCAAAAGCAAAAACCAAAGCCAAAAACAGCCGGTGTCCTTGAAAAAGTCTCCGCAGGACGCAGGACGCAGCACTCAGAACGCAAAAGTCGAGAGGGGATGGAGAACGCAGAACTGGCCTATGGAATCTTCGTGTTTATGTACCGACAACTTTCCGCTTTCATTTCCATAAAAATGCGTTTGCTAATTTCATAACTAAGTCGAAGAGTGCGAGGCGAAATCGTGGACACTGAAACAAATTTGGAATTGTTTTGGATTCGTTATATAAAAATGAAATCTGCTGAAACTTCACTCTCTTCAATAACTAAACTCTTCAATTAACAAAGTATGAAGTTAGTTTCTACTTTTAAAGATCTTAAAATTCGTTTTATAAAGAAAGCCTTTTTTATATATATTTTCTTTGTGTGTTTGTCGGACGACGAGGACAAACTAATTGCAAAGAAAATACGCAAAAATCCTTTGGATGCGGACTCGGATTTGGATTCAGATTCAGATTCAGATTCAGATTCGGATGCGGATTCACATGCAGAGACTCATTAGCTTTGCTTCAGTTAATGCAAAATCAAGTTGCCACCGAGGTGGCCCAAATCCCTGCCCATCTGTCTGCTGCTGTGTGAGCGTTAATCATCATCCTATACGCGTAATTACAGAGTCAGCGGCGGAAAAAGAAAGTGCGGGAGAAAGTAGTCGTCGGCTATAGAAGACATAAAAGCCTGAAGGGATGGGGGGAAGGAAGGAAAGACCAAAGAAGTCAAGGCACAGCATCAACGGAATATTAAAAAGACTTTTAGCAAGGAGTTGAAAGAGAGCCCCGGGGAGATGCTTCTTTACATTTTCACCAAAAACCACTGCGGTTGCAGTCACTTTTGTGGCAATGTGGCCAAAAGCCACAAATATTATTAACCACGAATCAGGCGTATTCAGAAATGCCATCCTCTGAACCTTCCTCCCTCCCTCCCCCTTTCAAAGAAACCAAGATAGACCAGTAAACCTAAATCCACTTCATCAGGCGAAAATGGATTCCATTCAAGCGTGGAGTGTGTGGATTTTCATAGCATATTTTTTGGGGCAAGCCAAAGTGCTGTGTGGTTAAGTGAATTGGTCTGTCTATCAAGAGTCTATCAACTATTTGGATTTATTATACTTTTTATTTTGTTAACTTTATTAAGAAGAACTCCCCAACATTTCATAAATATTTTTGTTAATTTTATTCAGATTAAAATATTACTTTAAAATAGAAAACACAACCCTTTCCTAATCGAAAATACATTTCTTAATAATTTATAGTTGCCATCCTATTCCCATTTCGCTCTCTTAAGCTCTCCAAAAATAACCCCATCAAGTGGCAGGGACTTAAAGAACCAGGATTTAGATTGAATAGAATAGAAAAGATGAGGAGGGAGGAGGGAGGAGGCTACCAAGACACGAACAGGAATCCGACGCGGAATGTCAACTAAGAGTGTTGAGTGTCAAAGACGGATGCCGGGGCGAATTGCTGGCAATCAAAATCCGAAATCCGCTCAAAGCCCAACACAAAAAAAAAAAAAGGGGTTTGGGGCAAGAGGGGAAAAACTGTGGCGATAACACCGAATGCTCGAAAACAGAAAAGCACTTAACTCTTAAAGGCGAAATGCTTGTAAAATTTAAGCCCTACTTAATTTGCGATATACTCGTAAACAATTGCCCGCGGCAATCTCATTGTGGCACTTGTCACTGGCCTCCCGCGGTGGGTGGTGGGTTGGTGGGTTGGTGCGTTGCTGGATTGAATGGCTTGAGAGTGGTTTTGCCTCTTTCTTACCCCCTTCCAGACCTTTTTCCAAAAATTTTTACTAATTTTAATAAAGCGCCAGAGACAAAGGCGTCGCTCCCCAACATTTTTGCGGGGGTTGTTGGATGAACAACGAAGACGCCCGCAACTCGATATCACAAGACAAAGGCTCACATCAAGAGGAAACCACAGGCTATGGCTACACCTACGCCTTAGCCCGCCATCATCTTATCCTGGTCCTGCTTGAGCTTCTGCTTCTGCTTTTGCTCCTGCTCCTGCTCCTTAGTCAAACCCCCCGAACTGAAGTGTGTGCTGCGACAAGGGGTTAAGGAGCAGGGGGAGCTGCCACATAGCATTCCGGCTTATTTCTTTCAATTTCGGTTTTTACTCATTTCGCGACGCGGTTTCTCATTATGCAGACGCAGCTCGGGAAATGCTTTTAGAGATGGCAGAGTGAAAAACTTTGCACAAATGTCATGGAATTTGCCGGTCAATTCCAAATAATGTCGGCACTTTCTTATTTTTAGAACCTTTACTCTTACAATTTCTTCGTTTTTTTAGTTTTTAATAAATTATTGAGCTCTAATCAAGACTTAAGCAGTCTTCTGATCTGATGGCTCTAATAATATATAAGTCCTGATTGGACACGAAATTCCCATCAGCAGTCCGGATTTTGGCCAAGGCCACCACTAGCCCCAAATGAATTTTTCGTGTTCGTCGGTGGAAAGCTGGAAAATTCGAGGATATAGAAGAGGAGAAGGGGAGGAGAGTTGGTGTTCTATACGGGAAATGTCTTTCTCTTGGCAGAAACCGCGAGTCCTCGCAACAGCGGCACATTTGTGTGCAATGCTGCTGCCGCAGCCGCTGGGAATTTAACCCTTTACTCCTTTAACAAAACCCCCCTCTTAACCCCTTTACCCTTACTTTTTCAATGGCCCCAACCCTTGCGTTTTGTGTGTGCCAGCCAGTGGATTACTCAATTAATTTAATTATGCGCTGTCAATCATTTCGTTGCCTTGGCCCAGGAACTTACTTACTTTCTCTATGACTGTCTGCCTACCAGTGCCACGCCCACTCCTAGACTCCATTTCTTAGCCAATCCCCCCGCCACCCATCGGTCTAGGCAAAAAGTAACTTATTTTCTTGTTGCCACTTAATTTTTGTTGTCCTTAGATTTGCGCCAACGTCTGTGGCCGCTGAGCCGCGGCCTTCCGCCAACCCTTTCTCTATTTCTCAACCCCCCCAACCTTTCACCATATAAATTTTTCTTATCCTTTGCCTGTGGTACATCTGAACGAAAATGGAAAATGGAAAAATCTTTAAAATTTTATATATGATATATGAAACAGTGGAATTAAACTCTTAATGCGTTACTTTGTATTAATGTCTTTATTTCAAGTCAAATATATTTTACATTGTCCATCGATTTATCTGTTAAGAATAGATATCACTTTGATCGAACTAAATTTGAATTTTAGTCAACATAAAATGAAAATGACAAACGAATTGTTAAATCTGTATTAATATAATATAATTTTGTCTAAGTGCAAGACGAAGGCACGCAAATTTTGATGGATGCCAATAGGGAAAGAGTTACCCTTATACTTTTTAACATCCTCCCTCCACCACCGACCACGAAATAACCGCGACTGCTTGGAAATAAGAGAAATCATTTGCGTTTACGTGAGAGACTTCCAGCTTCAGGCTGCTTATCCTCCTGCTACTATCCCAGCTGCACCCATAAGTAAACCCTTCTTTTTGGGAGTACGTAGGGGAACCATCCTTCCTGATCCCGAACTGAAGATTCCCATAAGCTTTGTGTTTTTGCTTTCTCGTAATGTTGACTTTTTCATTTGCCCTGGCAATTTCTGGCACGCTGGTTTTTCCTCTTTTCCGCTTCTTCAGCGGGTTTTTCCTTTTCTTTATTTTATTTATTTTTTTTTTATTTTTTTTTTAGCTTTCTTTGAACCCGTCTTCTGGCGTCTTTTGCGAATATCCTGCGGGCTTTGTTTGCGCCTGTATTTGTTTAAGCTGCACATGCCTGTGTTTGTGCCGTGCGTGTAGGTGTGTGTATGTGTATGTGTGCTTGGTGTTTGCTTACATGTGTAAATTACTTTTCAATCTTGTGATTACTTTTTTCCACATTTAATTATTTTAATTACGGCCCAGCGCTCACAAGCAGCTTCCTCTTTCGCCACCGAAAACCCTTTTCCCCCCAGGAACTAGTTCTATAAACCCGTATTTCAGTCCCCCTTCTTTTTTACCTTCCTCAACTTAAGGTTCTCTAAATTATGTTTGCAGTAGTAAACTATTGATAAAGAAGTTAAGGATTTTTTAGAGGGTTTTTTGTATTTAAATCCATCTAACGAATCTATGCCATGACAAGTCTCAAACTAAAACGCCTTCAAAGAAATTGTAAAATACAGATCTTACGCTAAAACAATATAGGCAAATATTTAATAAATAGAAATGTAAATTCAACTAACTAATAAAAACTGCTCGACTTGAAATTTTTGCCCATTTTTGTTAAATTTTTAAATATAAAACCTTGATAGGATATTTAAACAAGGTTTTATTTCAAAAAGGAAAGCTTTTTCTTTCATTAATTTTTGAGCCTATAAAATTTGTAAAAAATTGTTGTCATTTATTTTTTTTAAAATTTTTAAGGGGTACAAGGGTTTCAACAATCGAGAAGAAAAAATTGTCTCCTTTTTTCAAAATTTATATACAGATTGTTTGCAAATTTTATTTTAAATAAGGAACTGTAAACTGCAAAAGCTTACGACTATTAGCCGACGACTTCTTTGGCTAAAAGAAATTTTGATCTTTCGGCTTGCCAGGATTGAGAACTTAAAACCTCCCTACCTGGCCATCTAACTTTGTAAATAAAATGTTTTTGTTTTAAATTTTAGTTTTCTTAAACTCAAAACTAGTAAAAAAAAATTAAATAATTCTGAAATTTACAAAGGTTTTAGATCTTTTGAGTAAACAAAACATAAATAAATATATTTCTATAAAAACGTTAAAGACAAGAAAAGACAAAGGCATATAGATAAGTTTAATTGTGATCTTCAATCAATAAATTCAAATGAAACAAAAAGAAAATATCACAAAGAGCTGAAACATAAACATTGTTTAAATCACTTTACATTAAACAAATATATATATTCCCCTAATTAGTCTCCGTTTTTTTAATTTGCAGAACCCCTTAATCACTGAACTGGGGGAAAAAAAAAAACACATTCGCGCACTCAAAACAGCCAGCTGTGAGAATTCCGATTCCGATGATTGATGTTTCATGATGCCGACGAATAATCGAGGTAATAGTACTGGCGATCGGCGACTTAGATGCAATGCTTGAATCACCGGCTGGAAAATGCCTCAGGTGCACTAATGGCTTTTACCAGCTCTGGATTTCAATCTGTTGGTGAAATCTTTGCATCTGGATCTGAATCTTTGAGCGATCTTCGTTGGACGATGGACGATGGGCGATGGACGACGGACTGTTGGTTACGGAGAAAATCCCTGCACTTGAGTCGTCGTCGACGGGATAAAGTCATTTGTTGTGGGCTGCTGCTGCCGGCGTCGCTGCTCCGAGGACAACGTATATGTTGTCCGAAAAAGCCGCCCTGGTTTTTAGCCAGTCTGTTTTTCCTTTTGGCCGTTTCGGAATTCACGGGGGTTGGCGACGCGCGGTGATGACCTTCAGTGCGCCGACTCCCAGACTGTTATACTGTAATACAAAGGAGGCCAAGGGATGAGAAGGTTTCACTTCGGCTTTTACTCCGAAAAACGGCGACGGTAACGGCAACGGCGACGTCGACTGCAATTTTCAGTGCGTTCGAAAGTTCGACAACTTTGGAAAACTGTCAGTTGGCAGCGAACTTAGAACAGGTAGAGACGCACGTTCCGCCTGGAAAATCGGTACACAACGGAACAGGCTAGAAAGGAACATAAATCCCCCTCAAAACAAAAAACTCCCCGTCCTATATTGGGTATAGGAAAACCGAAAACCGAAAAACCGAAAACCCGAAGGTTTTCCCTCGTCTCCTTGATACGAAATATTTACTTTTTTTTTTTTGGTTTTGGGTTCGGAAAACGTGCGTCGACGTCGACAGCGACTGAAAAACGGCGACTGAAACGGCGACGATGTAAAATTTTATTACCCCAAACGCATCGAGCAGTCGGGTTTTGGACGTCCGGACTTCACCGCCGCCTCGCTGCGACGCCAGACTTTTATTGCAGCTGCCATATAGAGTGGGCATATTCCATGGTCAGGCCCGGAGATCCCAAAAACTTTCTGTGAAGACGGACACAAACTTTTTCCAGAGTGCGGCATAAAAGTGCAAAAGTTTTTTGTTCGCAGCGCCAACCAAACTAAAAGAAAAACTTCGCAGCCGCGCAAAACCCCCCCTCTCAAAACACAAAACAAAATTTACAAAAAAAAAAAAAAAAAAGAAAAAAGAAAAACAAAGAATAATAATAAACCGTTAGTGCAATGCAATGCAAGCAAAAACACAGAATAATAAACAAATACTAGAAAGTGCGTGGTCTAATTGATATCGAGTATACGCACCGTTAGCCGGCTAAAAGTTTATCAAAACTCTAAAGATATTCCATACGAAGATCTCGCCGCCGTCGCGTTGACAAAAAGTGAGTTCAGTGTTTGTTTGTTTTTTGTTACTGTTCTTTACCCAGTTTTAGTTTGGCTTATACTTTTTTTTTTTTGTATTAGTGAGATATATCCTACATCTATCTATATGCAACTATAAAACTCGGAGTGTGTTTGTGTTGAATAACAAAGAGGCAAAGCATCAGCATAATCAGCCAGCAGTCACATCATTATCAGCAAAATAAACAAACGAAGGCCTTGAATGAATGGCTAACAAAGAAGAGTGCAGAGTGCTTAACTAAAAAATAAAAACAAATCCAAATCTAAATCGCTAAGACAACAAAATCAAAAACAAAATCGAAATCGAAATCCAAACAGAAACAGAAACCGAATTCACCAAATAGGTAAAGTTCACATATAAGTATTTGAATCTTGTAATATCCCCAATAGATCTTGCAATTTTTCTATCGAACTGAAACTGACAGTCTATATATATATATATATATAAATATATGAATATATATATATATATTGTATATACTATATACCATGCTGATCCTCACCCAGACCCGCCCCCCTGCCCCTGTGAAGGCAAAAATTTCAAAATAAAAACAAAAATATTATATATAGAAAAAACCAACAAGAACGAGAAAAACAAACAAAAAAGTAAAAACCAAACAGGAAAATAATAAAGAAAAAAAAAACTATATAGAAAACAAGTTTAAGAAATTCAATGCAACAAGAATAATCACATTGAGAATTTGACAAACAAAATTGAAAATTTGAGCTAATGCAAATCGAGAATCGATATCATTTTATCATATTTAGATGGGGCATATCTATAGCTTATATACTAAGGGTACTCAAACATATAGGATATGGGATACAAAAAATGAAGTCTGCAGAGGGAGGATTTTGTATTTTACCTTTTCGTCTCTTAAATTGAATAAAAATAAAGAAAAAAATTCCCCAACACTTTTAGCATACTTTTAGGTGTCGAAAAACTATCATTTCTATTGTCATTTAATAGCATGATGTATAGTTTATGGTATCATTAAAAGGAGCATAAAAAAACAGACCATAAACAATTTGTTACCAATTCAGAAGTCAATAAGTTTTATGATGACAACAAGACATAAATCTTCTGACATACTTTTAGCATTTGTTTCACAGCTTAACTCTTCGCTTTGGGGGTTTAACTTGTTCAAAATCATATCAAATATTTATTAACCAGTATAATATTTATAATACAGTTTTTTTTTTAACAATAATAAGGCGGTGTATTTTTTCAAATCCAAATAAATAATCATGCGGTATGGGTTACAATTTGGTTGTCTGTTTAAATATTTGTTTTTTGTTTAGATATTTTGAGTTCGGTTTCAAAATAATATTTCGATACAAAACCTGAAAATGGTTTCGATTTTGTTTAGTCTGGTGGGTAAAATGATTCCCCAATAAGCGAACGCGTTAACAGAAGGAAATTAACTTGGATTTTGGCTGCTGAAGCTGCAAAATGATAATGATCATGTTGCCATTTCTTTGTTTTTACACAAACAACTTCGGTATCAAGAGAGCCAGAAACAATATAGCTTACATTTTGTTTGACTTTTCATCTGATCAGCGGAATTGAAAGGCCGGAAAAGCGGAATAGCCACCAAAAAGATGGCTCTTTCCAAGCGGCCCCTCACAAAGGACACGCCCTTGTCCGAAAGCAATGGCAACCACACCAATGGCAACGATCACGAGACCTCCATCAAGCGACGCAAGCGATGCAGTCGCGATGAGGACTCAAATCTGATCATCAACAATAATAATAACAATAATAATAATAACAATAACAATAGCAATAATAATAATTTGCCACAAAAGAAACGTAAACAAGGTGGTCACATCGCCGATAGTCCGGAGAGTCCCACCTGCGGTAGTTTGCCCACACCAATGGCCAAATGCAATACGGATGCGGATCAGGATGATGAGACCCTTATCCGTGAGACACAGGCCGCCCTGAAAAGCCTCTCGGGCAGTTGGCCCGACTCTAGGGGGAATCTGTATCGACTGCAGGAACAGGACGAAAATCCACCACCCTTCCAGAATCTCTTCGAGGAGAAACAAAAGTATGAGGCCATCACCAATAGCAGCCTTGCCATCCAAACCAGCTCACCAAATCCAAATCCTACGCTCTTCTCACGTTTCCACAGACAAAAGGAGAACGACCAGGCGCGTCTTAATGCTGCCAGTATTGGAAATGGTAGTGCCGCCCATCTGGCACTTGGCAAGAAGTCACCCGATCAGGAGCAGGATCCCGAACTGGAAGATACCTCTTCGTCGGCCTCTGGACAGGGAGTCTATGCCCAGGCAGCATCGGCCTTCAAGCCACCGATCGATATCATCAAACGGAATTATGTGGCCGCCGCTCATGCCCATTATAGCGCCTATAATGCGGCCGCTGCAGCGGAATCAGCCGCCGGACTGGCCTATTATGGTTATGCCGCTGCTGCCGCCGCCAGTCAACAACAACAGCAACAACATCAGCAACTTAGTGCCGCCTTCGATATTGCCAGCCAGATAGGCGATAAGCAGCGGCCCAAGGAACCGATGGCCGATGGCAAACAGTATACGATTCTTCAGCCGGCAGGCATTGGTAGTCGTGCGGCTTCTGTGATGCAGGACATTGCATCGCGTGAGGGCGTTGTTGGTGTACCGCTCGTGGCCACGCCTCCATCGACAGCGGCCGGCAGTCCGGCGGCAGCGATACCAGCGGCAGGACCTTCAACACCTTCGACACCGGCACCCAGTTACTCACCGGGCAGCCAGAATCGCGGTAAGTGGTCCCAAATAGTAAGCCATAAAAAGAGAGAGAGAGTGATTTTCCCAGTTGACTGTGATGAGTTGGTGTGCCGCCTCGCTGAAACCCGTCGAACTGTACTGTGACTTGGCAAATACAAGTGCTGTGTGATCTTCCTAGAAAAAGGAAAGCAGAGCCACTATCAGAACTTAAACAACGCTGTAAACAGAACTGCTTTTAAGTGTGAATTAGTGATTTATAACTAATGTTAAGAGGATCTTAAAAAGAGTGTTGTAAATAGCATAGTGATTGCTTTTTAAGCAGTAAGCAGTTCATAGCTAAACAATATCCTGAATTTGTGAAGAGTTTTATATATAACAACGTATCAGTTTGTCATCCTATAAACCAAAAACGATCCATTAAGAATAGTTATATAAACATTAATAAGTAAAACCCGCATAAAGATAAAACTAGAAACAGTTCTGTAAACAGCAATGTGAACCTGTTAGTCCATCAATGGATGCAGTACAGTCCAGTGCAGTGTTGGGCAGCTAATTCACCAGCGATTCGTTGTGGTTCGGTTGAGTTTCCGTTTTCGGCTCGACTGATCGATCGATCGGCTGATGTGCGAGACTTCTTGTTGCATTGAGTTTACCACTTCAATTGGCAAAATCAGAACAAAGTCCCCTGTCCCCAAACGCCCCAACGTCCCACCAAAACCAACCTACTAACAACCACCTCTTTCCCCCTTAAGAAAGACAGAGACTAAGAGAGAGTAAGAAATAGAGAGAGAGAGATAGTATGTATGATTGATTCCTTCTGATTTGATTGATACGCGTGAATGATCATTGCCCTAAAAAATACCCCAGATAGACACTCAATTTGCCTGCGTAATAGGCAACATTATGACGATTATTATACCGCTGGCATTTGTTGTTATTATTATTTGCACAGAGACCGACCCCCCTGCTCCATAGCCCCCACATATCTAAAAATAAAACCCTTTTTGCAGCTCATTCAGCAGCCAAAAAGACATTAAGCGATTTTGTCGTTATGAAATTGGGATCGGTAAGGGGAGAGGGGCCGTTTATATTTTTGGTTTGAAGATGGAATTGAAGGTTGGAGGAGGTATTGCGGGGGGTTGGGGTTTTTGGAGCGCACAACAACTAATGGCTTGTAAACCCTTTATGCCACACACAACGCTGAGACACATGGACAGACATCTTTTGGTTGAGTGCCTGAGCCTTGAGCTTTGCCTTCTACTAATTTTGCAGTACAATTTCCACAATTTCCATAGACGACTACGACGACGACGATGACGATGGCAGGGGATGTGTAGGCGGGGTAAGTGGGTGTGGCATGATTAGATATAAAGCATTATGAGCACGTTTTCCTTCAAAAACCACTTTTGCATATTTATTTTGTCATTATGTTTTGGCATTAATATGCTCAGTATGCTCAGCCAGGAACCAGGAGCCACGAACCAGGAACTAGAAGCCAGAAGAGCTCCTCATCCTGCGTGTGCGTATGTCTTTGGTATTCATATAATTTGAATGACTTTTTAAATAGTTGACGGAAGCCTAAGCATCTAAAACTCACGCTGCTGCGTATACGTAATAAGTCATTAGCGTATGGCAAAGCCGTATTGTTATTGTTTTAGCCTCTTTGCTAATGTGGCTTATTAGGCTTAACTCTTCAGAGGGTGTGTGTGTGTGGGTGTGCTGTGTGAGTGTTCGGTGTGTGTCTGGTTTCTAGACTCCTCTCAATCTTTAGTTTTCCTTATGTACCTTTTCTCTTTTTTTTTTTTTTTTTGTTCTATACACACATGAACATTTTCTAATGCACAAACACTTTAGAGCCTCCAACTCCGTTGGCTTTATTTTAATTAAATTCTAATTAGAGACGAGTCGGTCCTTTTACCTTTGCTTGCTTGCTTGCTTGCTTGCTTTTCCGGCAGCTGCAGTTTGACATTTTGCCCAGCCACGTAATAGACAAAAACCTTAGTAAAATATTTCGAAAAATATTTCATTAACCAACCCCCCCGTATATCACGCACATCATACATTATAATATATATGTATAGCAAGAAGAGGGGGTTTGGTATTTTATCTTCGAGGAGTTGCGCTTAGAAAGCGACCAAGTTTTTTGGGTCTGGTCTGGTTTGGTTTGGTTTGGTTGGGTTTTTGATTTTTGAAGCTGTCTCGAAAACCCCCAACCCAACATTCCCTTCGGCTGACTGTCATGTGTGTGTGTGTGTGCGCGCCTGAGCTTTTTAAAGTAAATAATGCAAAGCTGTTTTCCATCAAATTTTAATTAATTATTTAGGGTAAAAGAATTCGTGTTGCCTGCTGTTGTTGTTGTTGTTGATGATGATGCTATTGCTACTCCTTCTATTGCCTAGCTGTTTTTTTAGGCGTTTTTCCTACGGGCTTCTACGTCAACTTGTCTCTCGCTGTCGCCTGCCATATAATTAATTAGAAAATATTCACCCCCATTCACCCATTCCAACTGTCTTAGTATATGGCATAGCATATATGCATGCCTATCGACCTCGTCCTGGTTTCTCCTCGTTGAATTTAAGTTTTTACTGTTAATTGGTTAATTGTAGATGGCGCCAAATGCCCCACACCGCATTGTACGGGCCAAGGACATGTCACTGGATTGTATTCGCATCATCGCAGGTACCCATCCATGTATATAGAGCCTTTTGGAATTTGTCCTTTTCTCTCATACAAAAACAAACTTTCCATCTCTATCTCTTTTTCTCTAAATATATATACTTCTCGATCTGCCATTATTGGAACCTTGACAGTTTGTCGGGTTGTCCGAAGCGCGATAAAGTAACCACAGAATGTAAGTTTTCTTAAGAATACAAAAAAAAAAACAAAAGAAAAGTACTTCCGTTTCGCATGGCCATGTATGCCTAGTAGTCGCTCGCTCTATCTCTGTCTGTCAATCTTTCTACAACTCTGTCTCTCTCTTTCTGTCTCATAACTGTCAACCTGTCTCCTGTTCTTTTCTCCTTTCTCCTGTTCTTTTCTCCTGTGTACCTCTTAGCCATGTCTTGAGTGTGAATGTTCGATGTGTCTGTGCGGCCTTCATCTTTCAGATTCTCTAAAACTTTCCTCTAAAAGTTGTACTTTGTAGACTAATTTTTAAGTTATTAAATACACAAATGAGGTATTAAATACATGTTGCTACCTAGATTAATATTAACTGCTTAATCTTTAAGGATGAAAGGATACGCCTTGTAGAACTCTCTTAGCAACAATCTTCTGCAATTATTGTGTGATCTGTAATTTATTATTTAAAAGTTTAATAATCCAAAACAGAAGAGGCTTATTACTATCCTTTTTTTCTTGCATGATCTTAGAAGAATCTAAAGTTTAACAAAAGTGATAAAGTTCCATCCTTAATTCTATTTATAAAATTGCATGTAGCTTAGCAATTAGCATTAGTATGATGGACTAGATTCTACGGGATCTCCTTACGGAGTGTTTAATGACTTGACCTGATAGAGGATCTTGAAGCTCTCTGTCTCGTTCTTTCTGGCTTTTCTCTCTCTCTCTCTCTCTCTCTCTCTCTGTCTGTCTCTCTATCTCTGTCCCTGACTGTGGAATGCCTTGTTGTTGTAGTCGTGCCATTACCGCTGATCTCTCAGATCGTTTGAAATTGAAATAATTCCCATGCACTTGCAGTGCTGGCTTTGCACGAGCAGATCCTGAAATGCCCCACGCCCGGTTGCAATGGTCGTGGCCATGTGCAGCCGCATCGCAGCGTGCACCGCAGCCTCTCCGGCTGTCCGCGGGCTTTAAGGCGCTCCGTCGGAACCAGCCGCCGTCCAGCGGCAGCACCACTAGCAGCAACAGCAGGTGAACCATTCTACTATTGCCACTCCTTCAGCTAAAACTAGAACCATTGAGCTATTTGAGCATCCAAGCCAAGCCAACCAACTCAGCCGACTGTGTGTGAACGAAATCAATCCCCCCATCTAATATTTTGAAAATTTCACATTCCTTTGCTATCTACTTTAACGCCCTTTTCTCTGTTCTATCGCTCCATGTCTTGGTCTGCTCTTTTTCGCACTCTCTAGCCGATCTGGACAAACATGAAAAGGAGCTGCATCCGTTGGACAAACTGAAGCTGGCCTCCAATCACTATCTGAACAATAACAACAGCAACTGCATTAACAATAATAGCACGAAACTGAGCGGCACCACAACGATGCCGATTATCAAATCGGAATATAGTCCCGTAGCCAGTATCAAATCGGAGTATAATAAGAGCCCCATGCACTCGTATCTCTCGGGGGATGCGGCAGCGCCCGCTCCCGCCGCACCATCTTCAGCGGCCTCCTCTCAAGCGCCGCGTTCTGGTTCGGCAAGCGGTACAACTGCCTCGAATGGTGAGAACAACCTGCATGCACCGCATCTGAGTCGCTTTGTGGGTCTGCAAAGTCCGCCGCATCAGCCACATCTCAATCCTCATGGCCATCACCAGCAGCAACAGCAACAGCAACAACAGCAGCAGCAGCAACAACAACAACAGCAGCAGCAGCAGCAGCAGCAACAACAGCAGCAGCAACATACATTGCATCAGCAGAGAGGACCGTTCATAGAAGGCAACGATGTGCCTGATCCTTCAGCCACTTATCACTCGGAACACCAGCAACAGCAACAGCAGCAGCAACAGGCCGACGAGCGGCAACAGCAATATGAACAAATGCGCTATGCTCAAAGCCATGTAAGTGTCGGACCAAGCGGCGAACTAATGGCACCCAACGGAGGTGAACTGTCGCCTGGTACGGCGAGAAGCGCCTATGAAGCACATCCTGGACATCCGCATCCACATCCCGGACATCCACATCCACATCCGCCCGTCTCGCTGAGTTCCCTCAGCTCGCCAGCCTTTACGGTAGATGCAGTAACGGCGGCCAGCGGAGCTGGTTTCGAGCGTTACGATCCCAGCGGCGTCTGTTGTCCCAGCAACGGTCAAAGGGCAACAGCAGCAACGGCGGCGACGGCAGCAGGTGCTTCTGCGGCAGCGGCTGCTTATCATTATCTGCCCCAAACCACCGATGAGATGCAGGCCCAACAGCAGAAATATCTTCAGGAGCAGCAACTCATGCTGGCCAAGGCGGAGCACGATGAGTTGGCCAATGGCGGGCAGCCTTTATATCCTCGGCCCATGTATCATTATGATCCCACAATGGGGCCACTGCCGCCGGGCTTTTCGGCTATTAATCTATCGGTTAAAATGGCCGCTGCTCAAGCAGCAGCTGCAGCAGCCGCCTACCAAAATCAACAGCAGCAGCAGCAACAACAACAGCAGCAGCAGCAACAGCAACAGCAGCAGCAGCAACACCACCAGCAGCAACAACAACAGCAGCAGCAACAACAGCACGGCAAACAGAGCAGCTCACCCGCACCCAATGTGGGCGGTGTGCCGGCGGTGGATCTAAGTGGTTCCACCTCGGTTACGAGCAGCAGTCCGCACGGTTTCAATTCGCCAGCCTCGCACAACCAGTATACCGCCCAGCGGATGGGCAACGGCAGTCCGCAGCCAGGAGCCAGTCCAAACATAGCCAGTCCCCAGGTTCCCAGTCCTCAGGGACAAACGTTGGACCTTAGCGTCACCCGTTTACCCCACAGGTGAGTCATTAATAATCCTTATGAACCATATTAATATTCATATATCATATCATTTCTCCTGTATTTTTGTAAAACATATTTTAAAATATCATTACTTTGACTTCTTTTATATCCGCAGCATTATTACGAGTCCACAGTACGGCGCCGATGGCCTGGTGGTGGGTCATGCTCAGGGCTTTGTGAGTGGAGCGACAGGACCTCTGGGTCCAGGCAATGGTGGTCCACCGAGATCACCGCAAATGGAACCGGTTGACTTTAGCGGGCCTCCACGACCTCTGGGCTTTGGATTGGTGGGCCACATCAGCGGTCCGCGTCCCTATAGCCGCGAATCCACACCGGACAGCGGTGGTTCTCACTATATCGAAACGTATCGTGATCCCAGTGGTAAGTAAATGGGTTAAACGAGCTTAAGAGTTCATCTGTAAAATTGGCAGTTATGAGTTTTAAAATCAAACATAAAAGTAGCTAAATTTAGAACCATCTATCATTACAGGTTACTCACCACATCCCGGCTATGGAATGGTGGTGCAGTCAGACTATCCGCCAGCAGGATACCACGGCTACGGTCCGGCTGCGTATCAATGCAGTAATCCGTATGCCACTGCCGTCGGTCCTGGTGGGTATCCCACGCCCGTTTCCGGCGGATATTCGCCCAGTCCGGCCACCTGCTACTCGATGCCACCGCCACAACACATACCGCAGCACGACAAGTCCAAGGACGGGTAAGTGTGCTCGAAGACAGTCTCTTTCCCAGGGTGGTCAATGATTCATACAATAATTGGACAAAAATTGTTATGGCCATCACATTCTTCTTCCCGCAATCCATCTCTGTCAAAAGAGACGTGTCTCAGCAACACCTGGAGGTTTTAACCTTTTAGTGCCTTAAAATACTAATCGAAATCTGTAACTTGTTTGTTATAACCCACTTGTAACTGACTAATTGGTTAGATCTATCTATGAATCTTTACCTTAAACCTAAAGCGTAAGCTTAAGTTTGAAATAGTTTGATACTTTAAAGTCCCACGACTTTATGGATTCGCAGTCTTAGTTGTCAAAGAAAATGCAGTGCCTTGTTTAGAGCTTTGACTCCTTCACGGCGGTCCTCCTGTGTGGACACTAAAGCCCAGGGTCGAGAAACTTTAATATTTATGATTACGACTGAAAGTGGCCGCAGAGCAGTCGTAAAACCAGCCCAGCCCAGCTCTGCCTGCCACCCCATGATTAAATGAAACTTTAAAACCGAAAGTTTCAAGTCCAAAGTCTTAGCCGCACGAACAGACACAGACATATGGAGAGTTCTCTTATCTGTGGGCAGCCACTTGGCCTGATTTTAGTTTTAGCTTTGGGTATGAGTCATTCACTAATCCGGCGACCCATTCTCTTTTTACCAGATTGACGGGCTGCTCGCGCTCGGACCGCAACCATCTGCAATCGCACTCGCAGGAGCTCAAGTGCCCAACGCCCGGATGCGATGGCTCTGGACACGTGACAGGCAACTACTCCTCACATCGCAGCCTCTCTGGCTGTCCAAGAGCCAATAAACCGAAGAGTAAGCCACGCGATGGCCAGGATTCGGAACCCCTACGTTGTCCCATTCCGGGATGCGATGGCTCTGGCCATTCCACCGGCAAGTTCCTCTCCCACAGAAGGTAAGTACTTCAGGTCTTGGTTTTGAATTAATGATGGATGGGACTGTAGCTAATGGTGGCATAACGATTTGTTTTTTTCTTAAGCGCTTCGGGCTGTCCGATTGCCAATCGAAACAAGATGCGTGTCCTGGAAGCCGGCGGCACTGTAGAACAGCACAAGGCCGCTGTGGCAGCTGCCACGGCCATGAAGTTTGATGGTAAGTAAAGTCTGATGATAACCAAGATGAATGTTAAGACGGTGTTTTTAACTTTAATAAATAATATAAAAAATAAAACCCATCAATTTCCAACTATTTTTATAATTTTTTTTAGCCTGCACTACGGTGGGCAGCCAGGGTATCAAGAAGCCCAAGTTCGATGAGGTCACCATGGTCTATCCCAAAGGTTATACAGGTGAGTGCCCCGATCTTAGACGCTTCATCTCGCTCTCCTTTTCTCTCGCTGTCTCTCTCTTGCGTGTTTTTTTTTTTCTGTTATGAACTGGGCCCAAGGCTAATATACCATATATCCCTTCAAGATCGAAAAAAGGGGATTGGGTTATAATGGCCTTGTCATAAAGTTGGCAACGCCCATCAAGAAGAACAATAATAATAATCGGCGGTTTCATTGAAAAAAAAATAGTAATAATAATTTGAAAGACAGCAAAAGATTGTATTCTTCTTCTTTGGTGTTGCACGCTTTTTGTCTTGAAACATTTTCGGTTGGAATTTTGTGTGCGTGTGCTAAAGTCAAACGAAAAAAAAAAGAAAAGAAAGTATCAATAGCAATGAAAAACAAAATACAAATATTCAACAAGAAATAACTTTATTTTTGGTTTTGGTTTCGGAAAATGCAACACAAAAAGAATTTCAAGAAAAAAAAAAAAAATAATAAGAAATCTAACAAATTTTCATTAAGTTTCGAAATCCTTCGAAATCCCTAAACCTCTGACAACACCAACTCCCCCGCAAAACCAACCACTCACTCGAAATATCCTCTGAAAATCCTCCCGATAAACCCGGTACATAACAAGAACCCGTTAATATCCAATAACACACACACACACACACACACACGCAAGCATACCCAAAAATGCATGTGTGTGTGTGTGTGTTTGTGTGTGTGTGTACTTACGAACAAGAGAAACAAAGCAAAGCAAAAGCAACAAAGAAGCTGATCAAAAGAGAAAGAAACAATTAAATTCCTAGTTTTAATTCTAATTTAATTCTATGTTTCTTCTTTTCGTTTCGTTTCATGTCGTTTTTGTTGACGTTTTCTTTTAGATTACGCAACGTTTTGTATCGGTGCCGAGTATCTACTGTAAATAGAAAACGATAACCACTGAATCGCAGTCAAAACAGTCCGAATCGAAACTGAAACTGAAACTGAAACAGAAACTGAAACCACAACCAGCAACCAAAAATAAATGCAATGAAAATCCAAATGCAGCAGAATAATAAACAAACTAAATACAGTAAAGAACCCCTAAAACAAAAACAAAAAGTTAAAAAAAAAGTAACCAATTCAATGTGTCTGTATATAAAAACCGAAAGACAGCAATGCGAACAGACCACAAATTGTCATACCTACAACTCACACAAATCAGAGAATCCAAATATACAAAAAAAATATATAATATATGTACATACAAAAATTGCCAGGGAGTCTGTCGATCAAGGTAAGCCCTAAGAAAAGATGATTAAAGTCCACTTAAAACCACCAATCAATCAACACCACTCATTCACGAACACTTAACACTCATGATGCACACACACTTTGAGTCAAATATTATACTTATTGATCTAATATTACTTCCAATGTAACTAAATTGATTCTGACAAATCAACTTTTGTCTATAATCTGTGATTGTACCACATACTGTGATCAATTGCACTTTACTTAGCCCCTTTCAAAGGGTTTCCACTTCTTAACAACAAAACTTAAGCCTAGTTGTAAACGATGCAGCGGCTTTTGGGGTCTGTCAGGTATTGCATGATTGACGCTAAGGGCTATACCGCTTACAGCTAGGTTTAAGGAGTCCTCATCACTTGTCGTTTCTACTAAATGTGACTCACACCATCCACACACCACACCAACTCACACCAACTCACACTAGTGCCAATTGAGTTGCTAGCACACGCGCACATTGACGAACCGTGGAATGCCAGACGATCCCACAGATCGAAGAAAACAAAAAAAAAAAAAAAAAAAAAAGAGAAAAGACATTACAGCATTATGATCATAGATCGTAGGACCGTACCATCCACTAACGAGCCTCTGCATTGCCCTTCTCTTCACTTGGAACAGGCGGCAGCGGTCTGGATATTGTTATGGGCGGCGTAGGGAGCAGTGTCGGCGTGGGACTTGGTCTTAATGTCGGCATCGGGGTCACCAGTAGCAGTAGCGGCAGTACCGGCGGTAATAATAACACCAGCGGTAGCAGCAACACCGGCATAACCGAAAAGAATCAATCTGGTGGTGGTCCATCATCTGGAGCCGCTGGCAGCGATGATCTTAACACTCTGGAGGCCGAGATATCAGAGCTACAGCGGGAAAATGCACGTGTAGAGTCACAAATGATGCGGCTCAAGTCGGATATCAATGCCATGGAGTCGCAGTTGAGCACCAGCGATCGGGTATGTAGGCTCAGGTTCGTTGACGGCAACAAATTATGAGACCAAGTCCATTTCCCACTAGGCTAAGCGCACGAACTTTGCAGACGATGGTCACACTGAAAGTTTTGCACCTCCCAATTTCCCATAACCGCCCTTCTCCCTTCGCCCTCCGTCCAACGCCCTACGCCCTCCTCCGCCCTTAAAACTTTCGACTCAAACGAGACTTTGAGTGGAGTTCTTTTTGCCCATAGTATCGCTTTTTGTTTTTTTTTTTGAGTTCGGTCTGTCGTCACCTGAGCGAGTTTTGTCTTGGCACTTTTCAAGGACGTCTCTAAAACTCGGCGAAAAAACAATGAACAACAAGTGAAACAAAGTAAAGTAAAGTAAAGTTAAGTAAAGTGAAATAAACTTAGGCTAAAGTTGAGTCGAAAACGAGGGCGCGAACGAAAAGTTTTATCAGCCGCATACGCAGACGTTAAATTGCCTGGGATCTTTTGATTTTTCAAGCCTAACAACTCATATTTCCAAGCACCAAACGAAATAATAATTCAAAAAGAACAGGATCAGATATTGGATACTTTAAGAAAGGTTATAGACAACTGCTAACATCTGCCAAAAGACAAGATTATAGGAAACGGGTAAAGCTTCGCGGCCAAAGAAAGTTGGAAATTAATCTATTATATTTATTTTGAATGACATCCATCATACTATCTTATCGAGAATTACATTTTTTTTTTGTGTAATAAATCCACCCGGAATGCGATGCAATTCACTCTACCCCTGTTGACATCAGCCAATCGGTGACGTTGCATCTTCACTGCATCGGGCGGCGAATCAGAATCGGCGGCGTCAGGGGCAGGAGGCACACACCCCTAAGCCACATACACACACATACACCAGCACCCGCACCCACGTCTGTGTGTGCGCGCTGGTCATGCGCAGGCCATGTTGCAGCCCAACAACGAGGCGCCAACAAATCGCAGGACGGTATTCGATTTGCTCCTAAAAGCCTGGGAAATGGGGCGAAAGCAAAAAAAAATAAGAAATGAGAACAAGTCCACGGCGGGGCAGCAATAACTGTGCTACAAAGGCGCCGGCAGCGACGTCGACGCAGCATTAACCTTTGTGTTTTTGGGGCACCCCCAGGCCCCCAAAAACTCCGAAAAAACTCACTCCCTCTAGCGCCCTGTCTTTCTCGCTCACTTACTCGAGCCTGTATCTTTCTCTTTCTGCCTCCGGTGTTCGTGTTGGCTTCGTTCAGGATTCGTCTCTTTACGTATTTTTTTTTTGTTTTCTTACTTTCACCCAACCCCATTTCCCCATTTTTTTCCACTTCTGTGTGTGATGGCGCGTTCTTATTGGAATTCCAATACACATATGTGGCACATGAGCAGGGGTTTATGTACCCCGGGAAACCACCCCACCCAATCGAGTAAATTGAAAACCAATTCGTGACCATCGTCTGGGCTTCAACACACTAACCACTGGACCACTAACCATCCATATATGTGTTTTTTCGTCTTGTCTTCACATTAGGAGGCTTCTCCATTGAGCGGTCATCAGCAGCAACAGCAGCGTTCCTCGGTGGCTTTGGCCTCGCCCAGCGGTCAATCGCCATTCGCCAGTGTTAGTTCCACCAGTGGCACATCCACGGTCAGTGGAGGGACCACCAATAGCAACAACAACAATAACAACAATAGCACTGGCGGTGGCACTACCAATGTCAACGATCTAAACCACTCGATCAGTAATTTAGCACCCAGTTCTGGCAGCAATCCCAACCAATCCATTGATAGTATAGGAGCCCCACCCAATGCCAATCTGAATAACTATTACGAGAGCCTGAGGAATAATGTGATAACGCTGCTGGAACATGTTCGTCTACCGCCACCGCCACCACCGCCTGGTTCGACCACGCCCAGTTCGTCGGCGGGCTCTGTGGTTCATGGACTGGATAATGTATGTGGTGCTGGTGGTCAGTTGGTGGCCGGAGGATCTCTAGTGAGTGGAGAGCATGCGGCGGCGTATTCCACACTCCTGCCGCCGCCACCGCCACCGTCTTCGGGCGGTGGTTCGGCTGCTGCCGCTGGTGGAGGTATGTATGGTGGTGGAGGTGGTGGTGGGGCTATAGGTGCTGGTCTTCATCAGGGCAGTGGCTCAGGCAACAGTGGTGTTTTAGGATCTAGTGGAGCTGTAGGACCTCCACCAGTGCCACCACATCATCATCCTTATACAGTGCATCATCCCGTCAGCTACGGCCATCCGCATGCCCATCCTCATGCACATCCGCATCCACACGAGCACTTCGACTCGTATATCTCGAAACTTCAATCACTTTGCGTACCACCCGATGTGTATGCCCTGCCGGAGGATACGGAACGACCCGTCTATAACTCGGTGAAGCCTACAATGCACCAGGAATATGGAAAACTCATGCCGACGCCTATTTAAGAACATTGAAAATCAAAAGCCCAAAAGAACACTGATGACCCCCCCCAGGAAAAATGAAAAATAGAGCCAAATCCCGTCCAGGGCTCAGACAAGTGTAAATACTTAAATAAAAAGAAGTGAGAAATAAGATGTTAGAGGTTATTCATAGGCCTGACTTCAAGGCAGACTATAAAAATTACAATTGGGAGAGAGAGTGTCGGGGTAACCCGTGCGATGTGCCCCATTAGTATATATACATAAAACTCTAGTTATTAGGCATGGAAACCTAACCATTTAGTTGGTCGGGACAATGGTAGTCCCAGTCTTAGTATTTAGAACTGTTCCACATCCTAGATCCTAGACGCTTTCGTCGTGTGTTGATAATAGCAACTCTGTAAAAACAAAAACAAGAAAGTTAAACCGAATATAAGTGTGTAATTCGATTATAAATTGCAATTTTTTTTGTCTGTATCAAATACTAAAACTAGAAGTTATAGAAATCGATATATATATATATATATATATATATATAGAAAACCCCAAGTATATATATATATATGTTTAAATGTAGGGCATTTGTTTGGTGTTAATGTCTGGTCAATTTTTTGCATGCGAAACGCAAGAGATTCGCAACTATTTAATAATCCCCAACCAAGTTCCATTCTAGTACCCCTCTAGCCCATATCCCCTGCAGGCTAAGTTTAGTTAAGTGGCAAAGTCGAACACCAAAAGTGGAAAAACTAAGTAAAATACATACAACAAACATATACACATGCAAATATAATCAGTACTAAACTTAGTGGATGTAATCGTAATACTTTTTTTTTGTTTTTTTTTGTGTGTACTTGTAATATTGAAATGTAATAGTAATATCAAGCGAATATCTAAAACTATAATTGATAAGTGTGTGAAAGGAAGTGAGAACATTGGGTTTACGAGGTGTTGGCAATACATACGAGTATAAATAATCGGGAAAACAAAAGAGAGGCGTACATATGCAGAGATTATATCAGTATGTGTGTATATGGATGTCTGCTTTTCTGTAGGATCGTAAGTTTTAATGTTACCCCTTTCACGAAATCGGGCAAGAAACATTAACCCAAACCAAAATCGAGAAAAGTAGATTCAAATTCAGTGCAATACATTCAACCAAATGAGGGCAAAACGGGACAACCGAAATCGTAATAAACTAATTGTATAAGCTTAAGTAAACAAAGTAGTTGAACAAAAAGTCACGTTTTTTTTTTTGTATCGTCATACGTCTAATCTTAAAATTAACTATAACTAAATAAAGAAAGTAAAACGTAGAGCGAAGAAGGCAAAAACCCCCAAAAAACAAAAAAAAACAAAAACCGCAAGGTAATTTAGACGAATTTTAAAAAAATAAAAACCAAATCGAAAAAGTTGAAAACAAAAAAAAATTAAAAGCAAGGAAGCTAAATGAGAGAAGGAAAGGAGTAAAAAAAAAAACAAATAGCAGGCTTAAAAAGAAATCATTGTACTAAATGAAGTAATTACATTACGATGATAAAAAATAATTACACTAAACTAAATATAAATCTAAAATATAAATATATATATATATATATATAATATAATATTGGATTGTATGACAAGAAAAAATTCTGTAATTTACAACCGAAAAATATTTTATGTGATCATTGTCTTTTTTTTTAATATTACAAGAAATAAATAATTCGAATACCAAATAAAGGATATACACAATAATAGAGTAATGGTTTTTCCTTCAAAAAACAGATATCATAAGTTTAAAATCGATATTATTCTTCTTAATTATTTTGCTAACACTTATTTAATCATTAATTTATCATTTTCTGACTCTTTCATTAGCATAAATCAGTGGTAAATTGATTTTTTTTTTTCTTTTTCTTTTTTTTTAGGAGGGGTCTGTGGTAATCGAATGAAAAATGCGCAGCAATTTCTTGACAACGTTTTTAATTTCAATTAGCCCACTGGCACTGACCAAAGGACATCCGGCTGAAAGCTCGCTAAACGATGAAGGATGCTGGTCAACGAGCAGGAGCAGTAGTAGGATGGCCTCCGGTTAGCTGCCACTTGATTTATGTGGCTTCATTAGACATTCCACACATAGCTGGGGTGGGCCAGAAGGGGGGCCAAAGTAACCGGTGGGCTAAGTGATTGCCAAAAACTAAAAGCCGAACACACAATTAGAAGCAAACCGAAACCGAAAAGCGAACTTCAATGAGCGATAAACCAAGGGATGTTGATGTGATGGGTTGGGCTTTTCATGTTGAGGGGAATACCCGTTTCTAGAGAATTTACTAGTTTTCCGATTGACCAGCATGGAATATTTTTGGTTACCACCTCAAGCACTCAAAGTACTCAAAAAAAAAAAAAAAAGCCAAAAGGGTTCACGGGTCCGGTTTTGGTTTGTGTTTGCTCGTGTGAGCCGCAAAAATATTTGCATAGTTACCTTTAATGTGGTTCGGTTCAGGTCGGTTCAGGTCGGTTCAGAGTTCAGAGTTCAGAGTTTGCAGTTCGCAGTCTCGATGCAAAAGTTCTTCAAAAACAAACGAACAAAAGTTTTCTTTGCACAAACATACACACCATCCACAGCAACTCGTATATGCTGGCATGTAATTTAAAATGAAAAATTCTATTCTTTTGACGCAATCACAAACACACACATACGTCAGCGAGCATTGATTTCATTTGCATAAATAAGGAAAAACTCAGATGGCTGGGAGGGAAGGGTGGAAGGTGGTCCCCAAGTGGTTGGAGCAAAGGCGTGAGTTGTGGGTGGATTGGGCTTAAAAATGAGGGTACGAAAAGGAACTCTGTGCGCTTGTAACGTGCGGCAAAAGAAACTATTGCCTACTTTTGAGCGCCAAACCAAAACAATCGCACACTTGCACTGTGGAGCAAAGTTGCTTAAGAAACTTGCTAAGAAATGCTATTCTCAATGGTAAAATTTACAGCAAATTTAACCGTCGAGCTAAACATTTCTTATTAAATATTATAACCTACAAATAGATACCATAGATAGATAGATAGATAGATATAATACCAATTCCCCTTTTTGGATTCTCTTTTAAATTCATTATGCTTTCTAGCACTTCTTTATTAGTATATAACATAACTTTTTCCAATGTCCCATGTTCTGTCACTCCCCCACTTTGCCACCGAACACCCCTTTCTCAAAAACCCCTTTCCCCAAGCCTTGCCCCCTACGCGCTAAGGGCGGCGGCAGTCAAAAATCGCATAAATTAAAAAACTGCACACACTCACGCACAGACATGCGATGGATGGGATGTGGATGATGGTGGTGGGAGGCAATGGCAACCCTTTGTGCCAAACCCCCAACCACCCCCCTTGCCCAGCTGTCGTTCCCCACCAAGGAAGTAATAAAGTATCTCGAAAGTAACTTATTAACCATGCTGACAACGCTGCCAGCGAAGCTCCTGGAGCTCCAGACACACAGCCAGAGTCAGGATACCAGGACATCAGGATGTGTCTGTGTCACACACACACGCACACCTATACATTCGCATACCTCCGGGAGGTGGAGCGTTGTTGGTTAATGGAATGGGCTATGGGTAGTCATGTTTCATGTTTGCTAATTGCAAGTCGATTTTTCATTTCGCATTTCTCTCCAGAGTGTCGTAGTGGACCTGGGATCTCGACACCGACCTCAACCTGAAGCCAAAAACCTGAATCCCCAACCGAACCTGAGGTCCAAAATATGCACAGAGAAAAACGGGGTCTTTAGTGATTATACGATCTTTTCTTTTTAATTTGTTTATACGAGTATGGTTTTTCCTAGAACTGAAAGGGCCTTTTTTTGGTTTCATAATATTTTACGGTTTCATCTGACTGAAAAGATTTCAAAGTGAATTATGTGTGTTGTTATATGATCTATGTATATTTCGGAGAATTAGAACATGTAATTACATTTTATAATTTTTCTTGTCGTGCCATAAAGGCGCTGGACAAGGAACTGATTGAGTCTGTGGAAATTGTTGAGGTTTCCGCTGACCCACTCAACGCCGGATCTGCATCATCCCGGAAGGGACTCACGCAAAAAGGCAAAAATATTTAATTTAAAGCAACATAAAAACAAAGACGACGACAAGGTGGAATGGGTGTTCCCGGCAAATGGTTAATTTAATTACAAATTCTTTGCTTTCTTTTGCATTCGTATTAAATTTTCATGGGGTCCTGACATCAGCTTCCTGTAGGGTAATGTGTGTATGTGCGTGTGTTTCTATACATGTGGTGGTGGGTGTGCGTATGTGTATGCGAGGCACCTGCTGTCATTGCCGTTCTTTGAAACATTTTGGCCGCTTAAATACCCAAGAGACTTGAGAGAAAAGCATCTAGCATGCACACCCTCACACACACACGAATACAGCCATATATGGACACACTGATTGTCCTTTCAATGAAAAATAGCGCTCATTAATGTTGCTCATTAGCAGGACCACGGTTCCTGCTCCTTGACTTTGCCCTGCCAGTGACATTCCCTTACGTGTCTGAGGACCTTACCACCACCATTTACCACCCACTTTTACCGCCCCCCAAACCTTTGGCCATTCAGCAAGTGTCAACTGGCAAATGATTTGCCATTATTTACTAATAAAACTCATCGAGTTTTTGGGACCTCTGCTAATCGAATGTGTGCTCAGCACCACCCAACCACTTTGGCAATCCCCCCCTCCTTCCTCACATAAACCCACTAAGAGGAGGAAGGAGATGTCTTGGCCAAGCAAAGGACTCTTAATTCGAAGCGACTCACACGTTTACGCTGGCAAATGACCTCAATCAACGAGGGGAAGAGATCAGCAGGGGATTGAGATACTTGAGTTATACAACTTTAGATTCTCTTTTAGGGAAAATATATGGAAAATTACCTTAGTTTTATTTCCAAGCTATTTTACAGTTATTAGAAAAGAGAACGATACGAGAGAACAAAAATATGAGAGAAATATTTACAGCAAAAAATATATGAAAAATTAATCTGAGGCAATTTGGAGCGTGGGAAACCTCCGTAACATGGGGTTCCCTCTCCATGAGAATTGCTGACAAAAGAGTCGATCGTCTAGTAAACAAATTGATTTCATTTCTGCCCACATAGCAGCCTAAATATGCATTTAAACAAAAGTATTTCTCCTTTTTTCTTGAGGAGACAGAACTGAGTGTCATATTCATAAAAATAACACCACTTGCCGTTTCCATTTGTTTGATTATATGTTTTGTCCAAATAATGACAATGGTTGACCAGACGTGTGTACGGTAATCTTTCATATCGATTCAATAGATGGCTTCCGGTTCGATTCCGGTGCTTGTCAATCAGCTGAGGTCCCACATGGTTTACCAGTGTCAGGGGTTGAACTTCCCGAACTGTTCGAAGCTCCTTTGTCCACAGCTCTCCATCCTTGGACTTTCGCCTGCCAGTCAAACTCTTTTTTTTTTGTTTGCCCAATTCTTTGCATTTAATTTCGTTTATTCATTCGAACGACCACAAAATGACATTTGCATTTGGGCAGCGGTCAGTCCCAGCTCCAAAATATCCCAGAATATCCCGAGTCCCTAACCCAAGTCTCATGTGCTGTACTCTGGGGATTTCCATTTCCTTGAGATGGGGAAGGTCTCCGGGGTTTCGTAACAAATGAATGGCTCAGTTGCAAAAATTTGTTTTGACAACTGAAGATGCTCGCAGCAGGCGAAGTGCAAAATTTATAAAACGCAAGAGTGCGAACTATCAAATGTCCAGGCAGCATGGAAGGGAATTTTGTGGAGTGGAGTGTGTGTAATTAATTCTCTGCTGAGTCGGCAAACGTAGGCCCAGCCAAAAAAGCACAATTAAATGCACAACAAAAACAGTAGTTTTTTTTTTGTCAATGCCATGCCAGTACACTGGTTTACAGTCTAACTTCCTATTTACTAATAGTATCTAGATTCAAATCAAATAATTAAAAAAATTGTTTAACTATTTACTAGGAATAATATGGTGTTAATTATTTGTATATAATGTATACCAATATTAAGCACATTTCCGGTCACTATTTGTTAACTAAGCCATACTCCCAAATATAAAATCATAACTTAACTATGTTAATACCTAACCGATCTAGGTTTGGAATACATTTTTGGGAACGTTTTGGTTAGTAAAATATGTTTTAATCAAAAAATAAACAAAACATAAAAAAAAAAAATTCAAATTTTTGAAACATTTGATGATGGTACCCCTTGCCAAATTTAAAAAAAAAAAAAAAAAATGTTTCCCTCAAAATCAAAAATTTGTAATGCCAATCAAATTTTTTTATAATTTTGAATGTTAAAATACAAACCTTTACAATTTTTGACAATTTTTGCCAAAGTTATGAGCCCAGTAATCCAGAAAAATATGACCTGAACTATCACCGTTTGTAGGTATTATGGATATTAAGCCTAAATCTTAACAGTCTTAATTTCATTTGGTTGTTCTTAGTTAGAAAGTCAATGTGCATGGCAGCTAAACTGCAAATGGAAAACTACTATTTTTCGGAAGCTGTAACTGTGGCCCGTTGCTGGATTCGTCGTCAACAGCTTTTTACATCCATATATATATATATATATATACATATATAGCCAGAACCATCGTCATCGTAGCCGTGGCCAAAAAGCAATTAGCAAAGTTTTCAGTCTCCAAAACACTCACTCTTCGCATGGTGAAAAAGGGATGAAGTGGGGTCAGCAATGGGCTTAAGGATATAAAGGATGGAAAAGAGGGGGCCACACTTAGCCGGCCATCATCAATCTGGTGCAGTTGCGCAACCCAATCCCAATCACAATCCCAATTCCAAGTTCTATAGTCTACGTCCAAGTCGATCGGATTCCGCATCCTTCCAACCAACACAGTTGCACTTAACTATCAGCTGCCAAGAGCAGATTATTGCACAAAAAAAAATATCGTTTTTTTTTTTTGTGAATTTTATTGCAAATCAATAATTTAATAATTTCGGAATTTTTAAGCATCACTACACAAAATTAAAGGCAAAATTAATAAAATATTGGCGATTATCTGGGATTTCCTCACTGTGCGACAGGCGCGACCATCGGCATTCGCAATTATTCATGGGTAATCTAACCCAAAATGGGACGTTAATTACTGGCGCATGTCAGTGGCATTTTCCCCCCGACTTTGACCCTCGACCCCTGCTTTGAACCAGACCCCAACCAACTAGTCCCCTTATTGGGCGATGTGTAACTGTGTTGTGTGGCGTGAATTGCACAAGTACGGGCAACCATTTACTTTTTTGTCCAACTGTAAACAGTGCGGAATCCGTATACCCAGGTCACCAAAAGTCCGCTCCCTGGCCATTTATCGGGTGATTAATTAAGCTGCAAGAACCAGCGAATGCAACTTTCTGTCGCTGACATCTCTCCATGGAATGAGTGGGCGGCGATGAGCCATTAAATAATTCAGCAAATTATTCAACTAAATACCAGAGAAAAACGCATTTGATACACGAACAATAACTGAAATATTGAATTTCATTTTTATAATCAAATCAATCTTAAAATTATGAATTTGTGATCACCAAAACTTTATAACAATTCCGAGAAAAGACCAAACATGGAATGTTATATCATAAGGCAAATTATCAAGGTACTCAACTGAAAAAACATAAGAGAAAAACATTAAATCGAAATCCAATTGGCCAAGTTATTTCTTCATCGTTCTGCTTGTAAATTATATTTTTCAGATATACCCAATATATAATCCCAAGTCCAAATGAAAGGCGGTGTAGCTTTGGTAAGATCTTTAGAAATAAAACAGACATTATATGAATAGTGTTAGCGGTGATGGTCAAAAAAAATGATTTAGTTCCTGCAGACAACTAATCGTCGAATACTTAAATCGAATAAGTAAATTGCAGGGATTTGTTGTAAAACCTCCAGATGAATCCTAATGTATGGGGTAAGTTTAAAAAAAAAACACGTATGTGTATGTCTAATAAGACTTATGGCTAAGTTTAATTGGCCTAGCTGTGGCCCATCTTGTCCGCGATGAACTTGATGAAATCGCTGCGGTACAGGATCTTTGGATTGTCCTCGGTGGCCAGTTCCTCTACCTGGCGCAGGTCCGTCCACTTCCAGAGCAGGCGGCGGCAATAGCTATACCGGAACGATGCAAAGATCTCGGCGGCCTTCTTGCTAGGTATCTGATCCTTGTAATACGACTCTGAAGTCTTAACGTTAAAATAGTACAGCTGACCCCGCGATCGCGAGTGGGCGGACACATAGGTTGAGGTTAGTTCGCAAAACATCAGAATGCCGCCCGGCACAAAGAACTTGTTGTCGTCCAGCGCGTAACCAAACCGCTGCGAGTTATCTTTCAGCACGTAGTGCCGCATATCGGCAAAGAAACTGCCCATATCCTGTAGACGAAAGAAAGGCTTGCTGCGCAGCGCTCCAAACGTTCGTTCCTTGCGATGCGGCTTGTTTAGACTCCTGGCAAATTTATCGCACATGCTCACACGCTCGCGGAACGGCCGACGCCGTATATCAATTCCGCCCAGGCAGATGCCATCGATGATGTGCAATGCAGCCACACGTTGAATGGTCCTGCCCTCTCCGTAGAATTCGTACACAATCTGGCCGAAGAAAATCGACCGCGGCTGCACCTCGAAGGCGGTCTCCACCAGCTCCCACTTCTTGTGCTCAGTATAGCGAAGCAGATTGCCTCGAGACTTGCACAAGAACAGAGTGCAGGCATTGATGTTCGTTTCCTCGCGTCCCACAGGAACAAAGTACCAGTCCGCAATATTTTGCACGGTATTCGCTAGAGGGGTTACGCCGTTTATCTTATTGGCCATCATATTCAGCCAGCTGCGATCCGACGCCCAATCGGCCAGAAGTTCTTCAAGCAGTCTATCTGTTGGCTTGATTTCTGGCGCCTGACGCAGTTTATCCGGCAGTCCCCACCGTTTAAGGCACTCCTGACGCACCTCTGACTGCTTGGCCTCCTTCAGATCCGGATTTTGGGCAAAGGCGGCTATCTTTTGAAGGCCCACGATCTGCTTCCTGCCAATGGCATTATTTGAATCGATGATGTAGCGCAGGAAGTCCTCGTCCTCGGCCAGTTCGTTGGCATCAAAGATCTCCAGCACGTCGTTCTGGCTGTCTTCTATCTGCGATTCTTCGACCAGCATGAGGTTCACAGAGTTAAGGTAAGCTATGATGGCCGCCGTCTCTGTGTCTGATCGTTTGTACTTGCAGACCAAGTAGCGCTCCGAATTTGCTGGCCGGCTGCTGTTCGGCTTGATGATGGCAATCTGTTGGAAGCACTTATACATCAGGTAGACCAGACCCACGCTGAACGGTGTAAATAGGTCGAACACCTTGCAAACGAAGCTGCCGTTCGGGCGCAGAATCTTTAGGGCGGTGAGAAACTGACAAAGATACAACTGCTTGGATAATATCTCCTGGATGTTTTCCTGACCCTCCACCGAGAAGCCACCGTCGGCCATGGCAAAGTGAACACCCTGCGGCGTATGCAGGCGTATGTATTCGTTGAGAGAGTCCTGATTGCTTTCATCAAAGATGTTGCCGTCCTCCTTTACCCCATAAAATGTATCAAAGGGTTCCGCCGATGCGGCAAAAAATTTATCCAGCTTAAAGTCATTGGCGCCGCGCAGCGTGAAGCCGAAGCCTTTGGCCTCCCATGATTTACGGAACAGAACGTATTCGGAGAAACCACCAGGGCCTGTGCAAAAAAAGATACTGAGCTCAGTGAAACTTCAGGTGAGTTTATTTTTTCATAGAGGTTTACTAAAATGAATGAATTTCCGATAGTTTTTGTGAAAAACTACATCGATTAAAGTATGTTGTAATTAGCAAGGATTTAATTACTTGTCTAAATATTAGTCAAAGTTAAATATAACAATGGAAAGTGAAACGAGATTTTTCCCAAAGAACTTTACCTGCACACATGTCCGTGAAGTAGAGAAGCTCGTCGGCAGCTACTAGACTCTGGCCATTGGGGTCGCGGGGATTGGTAAACATGAAGTCGCACATGGAGTCGATGTTAGCCATCTTGACAGCGGCACGATTAAGGAAGATAGAGCTGCGGATGGTCTCAAACGGATTGCAACGAGATCTCGCCCGCCGTTTCTCGCTGTCGTTGAGATCGTCGAATACAGTTTTGGCATCAAGAATGCGATGCAGAATTTCCGGATCGCAGTAGCGTGTCTCCTCGTCGATGGATAGTTTTTTTTGGCCGGTAACCACGTGCCCCATCAGCTGATCGAGACTGTATGAATCAGCTCCTCCACCAGGATTGTGAAGCCAAAGAACCGGTTCGGGTATCTCAAGCTCCTCACAGGCAGGATCCCATTGGCCAGCTGAAGTGTGGACGGAGTCCAATTTAAGGCCGAAGCCACGGCGACCATCCTGCTGAACGGCGATGATGGGCTCCAGACGACCCTGATTGCTCTTTCCCAATCCCTTGTCGTTCTCGTAACCCATTTTCTTCATCATCTCCATGGCCTTGTTCGAATAGCTTTTCACCCACTCCCGCTTAATCTTCTTGGGAGTGGGCTCCGCGTTCTCATCGTCCGAGGGCTCGTCCATCTTACGCCGTTCGATGGGATCTGTTCTGATCGAAGAACTACGACTTAAGCGGGAACCTCGAATTTCTGAGGCGGATAATTTGTAGTTCAATTGACTGGATTTTCTTAACGAATCATTTTTTATTTCTTAACTTACACATAGCTGAACGCCTTCTTTCCCTGTTTTCTGGGGTTTCAATTGTTTTGATTTTCTAAGTTTATTGCAAATATTGTTTTGGCCTAAACTGTCCGTTGGACTTTTTGATTTTCCAGCTGCATTTGCAATAGTGGCAAAGTACTGCCGGCGACTGGCGTTCAGCATACAGTGTAAAGCAAATTTTTAAGTTTATCACTGGCTAACTTTTGTTCTGTTTTTTAATATTGCGTTTATATTCACAGCGATGCGACCGTACTTTGGATGCCGATATATACCGAAGCAAAATCAAACCGCGTGGTTGCTCGGTGAAATAAAAATACCAAACAAATGCTGCTTGCAAGCAGTTCGCAAGTTTTGAAATATCAATTATCTGACCTCTCATTTTATGGCAATTAAAACATTAATTTAAATTAATGTATGGATGTAGATTTACAAACAAACAAAATTATATTAAGGAAATTCATTCATATACCTAATATTTTATTTCAAGAATATAAATAACTAAAAGCTGCTGAGGGTTTAATTCGCTTTTATAAATCTTTGATTATTTATTTATAACGAAGTTCCTTTACCCAACTAAAGATGATGGGTTAAATTTTCAAATAAACAAAATTTACTTTTAATAGAAATTTGGTTTGAATCAAAAAATTTAACTTACATTTACTTCACTTTAAAATTGTTACACAAGACAATAATTTTTTGTTCATAAGTCTTAACCTTAAATTTTTAAACAAAAATGCCAAAGCAAAAACGAATAAAAAGTTTAAGAATTAAAAAGATTACATTATTAATTTTGCAATATTATTATTTGACTTCAGATTCATTAAATATGGGTTTGAAAATATCTTTAATACTTATTTACATTTTTTCGTTTATAACTAAGAAAATAATATCGGATTTATATTTTTTTAGAAGCATTATAGATTCTTCAAACATGCAGACGTACAATGCGTACATTTCAAGGGCATTAAAACTAAAAACTACATCTACAAATTATTAAAAAAAAAAAGGAAATTGGCTCTGGATCTACATCTTCTCATAGGTCTCGCTGTACGGACAGGTGAGGCAGGTGTGCGTGTAGGTGTCCTCCTCTTCGTTATAGGAATCCGGTCCGAACTCATGCTCGTGGACGGCGTGCGTCTTCTTGGTGTAGATACTGCTGCGCACCTCCATGCGAAGTTGCTTCATCTGTTTGTTGTACTTACGAGCCTTGCCCATTTCTCGTTTGTCCTCGCGAGACTCATGCTGGCGCACCAGCTCCTCCTCGCTACCCCAGACCTCCAGAGCACGCTGGTGGATCTGCAGATGAAGGTACAGCTTCATCTCACCCCAGCGGACGTTGTGCGGATTCTTACGGCTTATGTACCGCAGCTTTGGCTCTCGCTTGTCGAAGTCGCAGTCCTTCAGTAGATACTCTGCCTTTGCCTCTGTCCGGGTGATTAGGGCATGTCGATCCTCATTGTCCCGGCACTTATCGCACACCGAGTGCCCAAAGTTGTTGAACAAATAGGAGTCGGCAAACATGTCTCCGCATTCCAGACACTCCTCGTACTGCACAGGAATGGCAATGGCATCGTCTATAATCGGTGGGACTTCTTCTGTGGACTTGTTAAGTCCAGTTGAACCTGGTGGTCCTGTGGGCAAAATTGGCTGCTCCATTAGGAAACCACCGCCAGAGTCTATGTACTTGGTGCCCTGCACCTTGATCACAGAGCTTCCCTGACTGAGAGCAGCCTCCGGATGTGTACCATCCTTGTTGCTATAGGGAATTAGATTTTACTATAATTTCTGTTAGGATGATAGATAACAGATATCGCACCTGGCCAGATCCTTGAATGGATGGAAAACCAACTTAGCCTCCCGCAACTTTTGCGCCTTGGCCAGGTTCCTTTCGATCCGCGCCTTCTGGGCATTGGTCAACTTCGAACTCTTCTCCGCGGGAGGAGCAACCGCATCGATGGATACTTCCTCGGACATTTTGATTTCACAAGATTTTGATTTTTATACGCGCGGTCTTAAATTTTGTATATGGAAATGCTTATTCTTGTCAGTTTGACATTCTAAGCGAGCGCATCTGTATCTCTTTGGTATTTTATCAGGAATATGTATTCAACATACTACATGTATGTATAAATGTTATGTAGTTTTATTTTCTCAGTAACTTAGTGCAACATTTTTGTTTTACTTATTTATACATATGTTTTACTTTCATTTTTATTTATTTAAATAACCCAATGTTTTAAAGTGAAGACATCGCCCATTCTTGGTATTTTAGCATAACGGTCACACTGTTATTTTTGTTTTGCAATGCAAAGTAAACACCGCAAACTTCTGCTGCGATGTCTCCTGGCTTTGCCCCTCATTCTGCTGGTGGACTACTGCGGCTTACTGACCCACCTACACGAGCTGGACTTCGAGAGGCACTTTCGTTACCCACTCAAAGATGACACCAGCGCATCCTCTGGACTGCAGAAATTCTCCTACCTGCGGATGCCCTCATTCACGGTCGAACTGCAGGTGGATCAGCCTCCTCGGCTCACTTTGATGATTAAGAGCGCCGTGGGCAATTCTCAGCGGCGGGAGGCTATTCGTCGGACTTGGGGTTATGAGAGCCGTTTTTCAGATGTCCACCTACGACGCGTGTTCGTTCTGGGCAATGCTCAGGAGACTGAAAAGGACGTGGCATGGGAGTCTCGGGAACATGGAGACATTCTTCAGGCAGACTTCACAGATGCCTACTTCAATAACACACTGAAAACCATGCTCGGAATGCGTTGGGCCAGCGAGAATTTCAATCGTAGTGATTTCTATCTCTTTGTGGACGACGATTACTATGTTTCGGCAAAGAACGTTCTCAAGTTCTTGGGCCGAGGACGCCATAGCCACCAGCCGGAATTGCTGTTTGCAGGACATGTTTTCCAAACCTCACCGTTGCGGCACAAGTTCAGCAAATGGTATGTTTCATTGGAGGAATACCCCTTTGATCGCTGGCCACCGTATGTGACTGCCGGAGCATTCGTGCTCTCCCAGAAGGCACTTCTTCAGTTGTATGCCGCCAGTGTCCATTTGCCCCTCTTCCGCTTCGACGACATCTACCTGGGCATTGTGGCCCTCAAAGCGGGGATTTCCCTTCAACATTGCGAAGATTTTCGATTCCATCGGCCGACGTACAAAGGTCCTGATAGCTATAGTTCGGTCATAGCTTCGCATGAGTTCGGAGATCCTGCGGAAATGACACGAGTGTGGAACGAGTGTCGATCCGCCAATTACGCGTAGCGTGAAGGATAAGCTTTCCCATCCATCAATAAAAGCCTTATTAAACGTAAAGTAACTTAGAGTACACCATCGATAGATCCTAATACTTCGGCTGTTCAGAGAGATTTTAAACTACATAAGTTGCTGGCGGCTATAGTGCGTGGTAGCAAAAGTAAAAATTGTAAGAATATTCCGAAATATTTATCTTGAATTTATTAAAAAGTACCTACATAATAAGACCGAAATCTAATGATGTGTAGGAAGATTCATGTACATGTTGAGTAACATAAAGCTTTCACAATATTCTTAAAGTTTCAAAAAATTCGTTACAGTAAATATATGTTTTAACTTGAATATGAAAGCCACATTATGGATTCTTCGAATTTCTGTGTAGTTTACATGTGTAATACGTGAATCCTTTTAATCAAGCATTATTTTTGTTTTCCTGTTTAACAAAAAATTTTTATGAGCAATTTGAAAATGTCGAAACAAAAACCTTAGCAACAGGTATGAGACTCAGATAAAACCTCGGATAAGTTAGGATATAACATCGTCGTGGTGAATGAACGTGCTAAATGTCATTGGTGTCTTTGCTAACTCAAAAATACCACAAAATCAAAGTGTGACCGAACCTTATATACGGCCAAATTCAACTAAGCACATCGAAGATAGTATCAAGTTGTCATCGCCTTGGTATAAAAACCGGGAGTCTCCGCCGAGCGCCAGTATTTTGTGACGTCAAGAGCTCCGCGACAAATCCGAGGATTCAAACTCGCCAAGTGTACAGCTATACATATAAAGATATATATATATAAGCCCGGCCCCGCCAGCATCCCAATTTATAGTATTTCTCTTTGCCAATAATCCAAAAACCAACGCCAAAAACTAAATCAAGGTGAGCTTAATTAAAATTTACACTAATTTTGTAAAGAAGCATTGAAATTTGTTTTTGTTTGTTGCAATTTTCGTTTGGGCGACCGCCGGCAATTTTTTTTTTCTAGTAAAAAAAAAAAAAAAAAGACGGTAAAAAAATGAAGTAGGAGACCTAACTGGTTTTTGTTGACTGCGCTTCTTCATTGATTGCAAAAAATGGCAGCGGATTTGTTATAAATATTTATTGTGCTGGTCTAGTCCGTTACTTTTTGCTCTTTCTCTTCATTTTCATTTCTTTTCTTTTACTTTGTAACTTTTTTCTGCAGCTGTTAAAGCGCTTTTGTCGTCGCCTTCTCTTTTGTTGACTATTTTTCATTTATTTTTTTCATTGCTTATTTTTGTGTGGCTTAAACTTAAGATTTGCGTGCGTGTGTGTGTGTGTGTGAGTACCGGCCGGCATTTTCACTTCTTTTTTACCGTCTGCGTTTATATATCTACATTTGTGTATGTGAGCTTGGGCGGGGCGCATGTGTTGTTGTTGCTGCCCAATATCCTCCCCCACAGTGGGCGTCACGATAAAGTTGCATTTTATCAACATTTAAAGAAATAGAATGCAGTAAAACGCAGTAACAAAATTTCAATTTTAAACATTTAACATATTAATTAGAATACTTTTATTAGGGGCCAAAAGTGTGGGCCTCGAAAAAGGTAAATAAATACTGCCTACATTTCGAAGTTTAAATAAAAAGCTTAAAGATTACTTAGAGTTTGGGATCAACATGCTAGTTTTTTGTTGTTTTAATATAAATTAATATAATATAAAAATCAATTCTTTTAAATAAGGGTGTTAAAAAATTAGTTAAAAGAAGTAAAATTGCTGTGGAATACTCAGTTACACATGTACATTGACCTTAATTCGTTTTTGGACTGATTGAAACATTTTATAGCAATACAGATAGGGTGGGAGCTTAAACTTTTAGGCATGTACAAACATATATACACATTTTCATAAGGATGAAGTCACAGAAGTTCGTTATTTCAAATCTGCTATATGAGCGGCCTCGCCTGTATATTGCACGAAATTGTATGTGTGTGAGTGTTGTACGAGAGTTGCGAATTTTACTGGGCGTGGTACTTGGATATTCAATATCCAGCGATTTTGAAATTGAATATATGACTAAACCCAGCCGCCTGCATAAAATGTGTTGTGTGTGTATGTACATATATGTATATATATAATATGCACAAAAATAAAATGTATAATGTGCATGCTTAAAATTCATTGCAAGTCGCTTATTGTCCCTCTCGTTCTCTCACTCGCCTATACACTTGTGCATTTATGCAGGAGTTGAGGGTGTAAATGTAAAGCGGACGTGTCTGTCATTTCTCATTTCCCTCCATCCCTTTTCTCTGCGCTCTCTTTACCCTTTCTTCTTTGCTCCTTTTGCACTCCGTTTGTCGGCTGCTTGCCACGCATCAGCAGCTTTGACTCATTTTATTTTACATATGTATGTACATACATACTATTCATATTCCCAAAACAAATTCCCTGCTTTTTTGTTAACGGTCTCTTGGCGCCGTCTTCCTCACACCCAAAAAAAAAACAGCACAAGATACATACATATGTACAACATATATCTGTAAGAGAATTAACCAAAAACAGGAAGAAAGATAGAAAGAAAGGCAAAGAAAAGCTTACAAAGTCAAGCGAAGTTAAAGAAGAAGAAGCACAGCTGTGTGGGCAATGATAAATTCAGAAGACACACTTACATACATATATACGAGCAGACATGTACATACGTATGCAATATAAACCGATGATTCATCGCCGACTTTTAAGCGGGGCGACCATATTTCGAATTTCGAAGTTGGAAGTTGATTCACGGTGAACTTCATTGCCCCCTCACATCTCCTGAAAATCACCCCCTCACCCAATCACTCCCACTTTGTATGTATGCGTAGTTGTTGCTGTTTCTGCCGTTGTTGGCTCTCCTTTGTTCGTTGCAAGGAGCTGACTAATACGGCACTTGGTTTACACGATGACCAATTAATCGAAATTCAAATTAAGCGTTGCGATCGCCAACAGCTATGCTCGAATAATGGAAGTTAATAATAGTTATAACAAAATTGTAAGTCTTAGTTCTCGAAATCCAAGTATAACACTTATTTGAGGTATTTGCTTTGAAGTTTTTAATTAATCTTTGACCGCCTTATGAATAATTTATTCAAGTAATTTTAATAAAACTTGGGGTGCATTTACCGTAAGAAAAAAAAAACCATTAATTCCCAAATGAGTGCCTCTAAAAACAGTTTTAAAGCATATTCGTTATTCGTGTGGTTTTCTCATAATTTGTTCATCAGAGTTATTTTTGGTAGCGATAATAAATTATGAGCAATTCTTGAGCATTATCAGAACAGAGATTAGCAACTAGAATAATGTTTAATTAATCACCAGTTCAATAATGTAAAATACAAATATGGTGAGGTAAAGCTTGGGGATAGGAGTAAAATTTACCAAAAAACAAAAACAAATATTTTAAAATATAATTAGTATAAAATGAGATCGCAATAAGTCAAGCAAGGTTTTTTATTTTTGATAAGCGTGCGGCATGAACCAATTGAGTTAGTATAGACTTCGGAATGTGGTGAAAAGACGGGAAGTGTGCGGGGAAATCGTTGGCCGTTAGTCAGTTAGTCAATCAACGTGATTGGCCAGCCAGCCGCTGGAGGCGCAGCTTTACGACCATTTATGGCCATAAATGTAAAATAAATAAATATAGATTCGCGATGCTTTTTCTCTTGCTTTTTTCTCCGTTTTGTTTTTGGTGCGGTCGCTGCCCTTGTAACGATTTCATTGCAGGCGCGCAGCTGTTCATCGAATGCAATGCAATCCAACTGATGACTTGATATGTCAATACCCGATATCGATATACAAAGACGATTCTTTGTCCAGCGCTATTCTTATTGGAACTTGGTGGAATGGGTCCGGGAATGGTATTGCGATGCGGCACGCACACACAAATTTCGCAACTAAAAATAAACGTGATAAAATGCAGTTTAACCGCTCGTCCAAGTACACATGTCTTCTGATAAGAATGCCAGTGCTTAAAACAAAGGCCAAGAACAAATCGCAAAGCGAATTGGAGTCTTAATCTCTTCCCAGTTGGAAAGGTTCGCTGAACTCTTTCTTCCCTCGCGTTCTCTCTTTTACTCTTCCATTTCTTTTTATTCTTTCATTCTAATAGAAAACGCATACAAACACTTGCATGACTCGTCCTTGCTGCATTTATGTATATATGTGCGTCATTTGAGTCATCGATATCGCCCCACATTCGACTGATTCATTTTTTTTTCTTTCTCTGCTATCGCTTGAGAAATCGGGCAGCTAAAATAAATAAAACCAACGGTCAACAATAAGATATTACGTTACTTTTCCATCGAAAATGAATTATTTATTAAGGCGCAACAGAGTGTCAACAAAAGCAAACAATCAAGAACAACAACAGATCGCCTATCGCAGAGTTGGTTTCCTCTTACTGACCGATAACATTGATATCCTCTTCCGGCTTGACTCCAGTTGGACTGTTCTGTTCTAACTGGATATGTAAATTGAGAATTCGACTCGGGTTTTATTATTCAGAGGACCTAACAATAACTACTGTATAAGATTATATTTATTGAATAACTTGAGAGATATATTTGCAAATAATACTTTATTTTATAAGAAATCTATATGTGTTTTAACAGTACAACGTATAACTTCTTTACAAAAACGGATATTTTTTAGCAGGTCTATAACTTTTTTAAAGGTCTTATTTATTTTTAATGTACTATCAATATAGTATCAGTTTTTCATATTATCTCATACCTAAGACTTTGTTACCTAAAGAAAAACAACTATCGTAATTCCTATAGCTTTCTTGCTTAACAGCAAACTGATGATAGATTGGATATTAAGACCTAGCAATTTAGATAGTCATGTTATATTGAAACACTTATTTCCATGTTCTAAAATTTCTATTCTGATTTTTCAGATGGCCGCCCCAGCACCAGCACTCAAGGATCTGCCCAAGGTGGCCGAGAACCTGAAGAGCCAGTTGGAAGGGTTCAATCAGGACAAACTGAAGAACGCCAGCACCCAGGAGAAGATCATTCTTCCCACCGCTGAAGGTAAGTTCCTTTAAAGTGGAAGCAAAAGATAAATTTTAACATACTATCTCATTGAAACAGATGTGGCTGCAGAGAAGACCCAACAGTCCATCATTGAGGGCATCACCGCTTTTAATCAGAACAACTTGAAGCACACAGAGACCAACGAGAAGAACCCGTTGCCCGATAAGGAAGGTGCGTTGTAGGCCATCTAGTATATAGTATTATACACAGCTTAGCCATAAAAGTCAACGACTGGACTGGTTGCCTTAGATGGTCAATGCACACACTCTATAATTGTGCTGTTATTTCTCAATTCTCAATCTCTCAACTTCTCAACTCAAATTGCAGCCATCGAGCAGGAGAAGGAGAAGAATCAGTTTATCGCCGGTATCGAGAACTTTGATGCGAAAAAGTTGAAGCACACCGAGACCAACGAGAAGAACGTGCTGCCCACCAAGGAGGTGATCGAGGCCGAGAAGCAGGCTTAAAAACGGGGGCTTCAATATGGTCCAATCCGATCCGAGATCGAAGATCTGAGATCTGAGATCCGATCCTCAGTCACCCCGTCGTCTCTCCTTTTCAACTCGCCGCATCTCACTCTTTATACGTATAAAGCTATTCCCTCTCATTTTTCCACTGCTACCAAGTAATTCGAACTGCTGCGCATGCGCGTGATTGCAAAAGTATTTTATCATTATCATATTCCAGTTGTTTTTTTTTTTTTCATTATATTTTTATATATACTTTTTGTATTAACAAGTAAGAGAGCCAATTCTCATTCCTACAGCGTAATTAACATAAAATAAACATTCGTCTATCCCATATATTTGTGCATAAATGTTTCCAAAACACACGACACAACACACATTCATCAGAGAAAAATAAAAAATCCAGATACAAAGCAATACGACAGCCAAATCACTCAGAACATTTTTACACTAAAAAAGACAGCAAATATATGAGAAATACTTTTTAAAAGACACGAAACAACGTATGAAGCGTATAAAACAAAAACAAAAATGAAATACGGTAGAAAAGCATCTATATAAAGAGTATGTGTAATTTTTTAATGAACTTTTTTTTATATACTTTACATACGATATATTTATACTGGGAAAAATAAAAACATAAATGTAACATTTTATAACAAAACGTACTAAAAATGCACAGACTTTTGCTTGGTTCGCGGTGGAATATCTTGAAATTTGCAATGAATTGATTTTTATCAATTTTTTATTCATAGTGTTTATACATGTGGTCAGCTTAAATGCTAGATTTTTTAAAACAACTTATGAGAACTAGCTTTTCGCGGCCACCTCATCAGTGTCGTTTGGTGTGATAGTTGATTCGGCGGCAACACCATTTCCAGAAGATACAGTCTCCACGGCGGCACATTCGCCCGACGATTCGGACTCGGCATCCATGCCAGTGTCTGCAGTTGCATCTGCTGCAGCAGCGGCGGCGACTCTCGCCTCCTCATATTTGTTAGTCTCGAACTTACTGAGATCGGCGCCCAGGAGCCGCAGAATATGAATGGTCTCGTCCTTCTGCACGTATGCGCGCAAGCTGGAAGTGCCGCGCCATCCCACCGTGTACAGTGTAAACTTCTCATCTACGTACTTGAGGATACAACTGCCCACCCCTGAAATAAATCATCCATTAGACCAATACCATAACTTAAAGCTTTATATACTTACCCAATTCCTTACAGCGCTCCTGGGTTTCCTTTTTAAGTTCGTGTGTCGATGGTGGCTGCGTGGGATCGGTACAGTTGAGCATCAGTACCAGGTCCTCCCGTTCCACCTGGATTCGCCTATTTGCTCCCATAAAGGCATTTGAGGTCTGCAGGCCCTCTTGGGCCAAACGGAACGGATGCACCGTGTGCCGGTTTTCACAACGCACGAAGGTCTTTACGCCCGTGTTGATCATCTTGATATTGTGCTCATTGTTAACCACCAAATCGCGGATAGGATCTGAGCAGTAGTAAATGTTTTTCTTTTTGTCCGTGATGCACCGCGTTAGGAGGCATCGCTGATTGAGGGATTCGTCCAACTGGTAGAACTCCTTAATGGCCTCGTAATCAGGATCGTTTTCGCCAAAGAACACATAAGGGTCCTCCTTATAACCATGCAGGCGTCGCTTCTTCCGCTGCGGTCCCCATGGCACAGACTTCTCTTCAATGGGCTTGCCCTCCTCATCCACCTTCACCTCAGCTGCCGGCTGCTTGGCCTTCTCGGTAAGCTCCACCAGCTCCGACACATCGTTTTTCTCAAAACTTAACTGACGACGCTTCTCTAAGACGGCCACAAAAAAACCGCCACTGTCCTGTAAATGCGGCAACACTCTTAGGCATTTATCCAGCCCGATCTTAGCTATCTCATCGGCGGGCAGCGGGAACATCCCTGGCCGTATAATAGTATGCAGGTTTTCAGGAACCTCCTCAAAGGTGGTGAAGATCTGGTCCACCTCCTTGGTGGCCAGCTTCCAGTCAGTCATGCCTGGGTTGTACTTGAGACCCGGCACTAAATGACCCGCATCTACCAGCTCCAGGGCTCCGTCAGCCTCCTTGAGGATGCGCTGCAGCACTGCTTCGTTCTCGATGGGATTCAGCGAACAGGTAGAGTACACTAGACGACCGCCTACCTCCAACATCTCGGCGCCACGTCGCACAATCCGATACTGAATTCCATGCAGATTGTAAGCCTGTGCCAGGTTCCACTTAAGCCAAATGTCTGGATTCTTGCGAAGGGTTCCATCACCGGAGCAGGGCACATCGCAGAGGATCTTGTCGAACTTGAGGATGGCCTTGGAGCCATCCGACTTAGTTGTCAGCAGGTTGGGAAATGCGCTGCTATCGTGATTAGTCACCAGAAGACAAGGCGAATTAAGGCGCTTGGCCTGGTGAACTAACATATAGCACCTGTTGTTGTCGACATCGTTGGCCAGCACAAAACCTGGTGGGATCTTGTGCTCCTCGGGAGCAGCATGCAGAGCCTCTATTAGTTGAGCTGTCTTGGAACCCGGTGCAGCACACATGTCCAAAACTTTATCAGTGGGCCGAACATTTAGGACAATCGGAGGGATCATGGAAACGGCCTCTTGCCGACTGATTCCTCCCGCCGTCGTCTCCACAATGAGAAAGTTGTGCAGCCGGTAGAGTGGCTCTGAACGGCGAATGTCCTTACGGGTGAGATGAAGTTGATAGGCCAGCCCGTTTGGATACCAGGGCAAGCATAGCGGGCGCTCCACATCCTCGGGCGCCTTTTGGTGCAGTTCGGCCACTGCCCTGACATACTCAGTGAACAGCTGCGTCTCTATAATCGAAAGTAGCGCCTTGGCTTCGTCCTTGAACCCCGTCACCCTGAAAGTGGTTGGCAGGTTGTCCCTAATAGAATCGAGGAACTGCGACCACTCCTCCTCGCTGGCGCAAATCTTCTGCAGATGGTAGTACTTGATGAAGAAGGCATTATCCCTTTTGATTTCCTCATAGGGTAAGGCTCTGCGGTCTGGACGCTCGGGACCCTATTATATGGTAAAAATACATATGACAACATCGAAAAACGTGGAGTGTTCCACCACTTAATTTAAGCGAACTCACATTCTCGCGCTTTTGACGTTTTCGTGCCGCAAAGGGATTTTGCTTCTTGTTTCGTCCCATTTAATATAATTAATAGATACCTGTTCAGTTAAGTTAAAAAAAAACAAGGAAAGGTTTATTTACTTTCCAAATTAAATGAATAAATAAAACGTGTTCGCCGGTTGTCTGGCAACAATGACAGCGGAGCGTTGCCGGTATGATAAAAACTTGTAAGGTAAATAAAAATTTCTTTTAAAAATTTACCAACTTATATTCGTTAGAAATCTTTTTCTTAAAAGCCACAATTAAAGAGTTATAAAGATAACGTTTAACGCTGTTATCTTGTTCAGTCTTTATTCAATCAGCATATTTTACATTTTACCGCTGAATACGTACCCAAAACAGGATTGACTAGTATCGATAGAAAAAAGCTAAATTACTAATCGTTGGCACTGGAAATAGCCAGATTTGTATAAAACATTTTCATTTGATGTTATTGAAATAACGTGTTGTATTTAAAAATCTTAAAATGGTGTGTTAAAATGGTGGTGATTTTGTGAATCATCCTTTTTTTAAATTGACGTGAAAGTTTCTTATCAATAATTCAAATATCCGTTACATCCGTGTCCTCTTGATAGCAAGCAACCGCAACCGATAGAACGGAGTAATCGATTCTGAATTCCTCCATTTTTAAATATTATTTAATTTCATTTAAAACCATATGGAGACTCCACCAACGCCCACCTCATCCACACCTCTTACTTCATCGTCCGAGGGCAACATGGACGACATTCAGTACTTGCTGCACCTGGAGGCGTTGCGGCGTTTTCAGGAGGACAACCGGAATGTAAGGCGCCAGGTAGAGGAGCATGTCCGTCTCTGGTTGGACACGAAATGCGAGTATCAGCGGGAATTCTATCGGCTGGCTAGGCTTTTAAAGTGCTCCGCCTTACAAAAAGCTGTCGATGCCCAACGCGTCTGCGATCCGGATCAAATCGCCCAGGCAGCCAAGGATACTGACATTCTTCGTTCCAAGCTCAGCTGTAATCTCCGCCCCGCCATTTTGGACTGCAGAGATCTGGAAGAGTGCCTAAATCAGATAAACACCGCCCATAAGCCGCGCTTAAATCTTTGTCGTCAGCAGCGAGAGTTCGCCCGCAACCAGGAAGCTTTAAAAAATCTTCGCATCGCAGTCGATGGATTGGAGAATGGCATGGAGATCGGCATGATGCAGGCAATGGACCGGCTTGTGGACGACCTACTTCCACAGAAAGATTCAGTCAACTAAGCGGTCGTCTCCAATGTAAATATATTTTGGGAAATAATCCAGTTTAATCATTAAAAACGGATAACTGCGAATAAAATCTAAGATCTAAAACGATTCTACGTTCACCCGAGGATGGCAGAGGCATTCTAAAATAAATATTTAAAGCCGATTAAATTTGGTTTTTTATGTGCATTAGGAAGTTTACCATTTTGAGCGCTTGGACCAGTCTTTGGCCGTCCAGTGGAGGCACTTGGAGTCGATGCGGATCTTGCGCTTGTCCATCGCTCGCCGGTGTTGCTCAATTGTGTCCCGGTTGATGCACACGATGTACTGCCCCTTGTAATAGTTTATCAGGTTCAGATTCTGCAGCGTGGAGATCACGTCTTCCTTCTTTATAGACGTACATTCACAGATATCGCTGAAAAAGTGTGAATTAGTTTTAGCTCCACAAAGAGCTTAGGATTAATCATACTTTATTGTTATGGTGGGCTTCTCGCCGTCAGTGCTGGGGTTTTGACTAATGAAAATCTCAAGTATGGTTTGCGCCCAGTAGGATCGATAAGATAGCAGGCCCAGATCCGACAACGGTTTCTCCGGCGAGCCTGTTTTGCCCTCAAACTTGGATAGCTCGTAGCTGAATTCGATAAGCAGTTTGCCGTAGCCCTTGCGCTGATACGGAGGCATTGTGAGGATACAGGCCACGTTGTAGTCCTCGGTGCTTTCCTTCTCCTTGGAGAAATATCCCACAATGTGAAATCCGCGCGAGTCGAACTCGGTCATTACGTAAAAAAGGAACGGATCCGTGTCATAATAAAGTGTCTTGTGGTCCAGAAAGAGTTTCGCCAGCAGGCACAAGTTCTGGGCATACACCTTGTTCTTGCGACCGTCGATTTCGAAGAAAGAAATGGTGTGCTTGCGGTAGATCTCATTCCCTGGTGGATGTCTCAGATTACACTTTGAGAGGTGCCGCTCCAGGCACTTCCTGCTTTTCCTGTACTTCAGACAGAACTCACAGATGTAGATGCAAGACATTTGGCACAGCTCTTGCGGATAGGGCGAGAAATACCATGGCTTAATGCGATGCCTTCCAAGCTCGATCATCTCTACGTTTTTCATGCGCGTCACAACGTCGTCCTGGTGCGTCACCATGCTGCCCGATTGCCTTGGCGTGGGTGTCTTACCATCCTGCGATCCATCGCCATCTTCGTTGGCCGCTGCACTTATCAAACCATCGCCTGTCACGTGTACTGGTGTTGACGTGGGCGTCTGTGGAGTTGTGGGATGCGGATGTGATTGTTGCGATTGCACTTGCAGACTGTGGTGCCCATGCGCTGATCCTCCGTGAACTTTCCGCTTTCGATTGATTCGTTTCTGGAGGGCTGCTGCTAGGTTGTTGCCATTAACGAGCTCTCCACCACTGCTTGGCGTCCCGGGAGGAGCCACTGAGTTTGATGGACCAACCGGAGGAACAATTCCCGCTGCACTGCTGGGAGTCGACTGAATGGCTGTCAGCGCAACAGAACCAGGATGTTGCGGCGATGTGGGCCGAGAAACGCTGCCCGCCAGTGAATGGTGGCGCTGGGGAGTGGTCACTCCGGTGCTGGTGCCTGTTTGGGAGCCGTCCCTCCGCGGAAATTGCACCTTCCGCGTGTACAGGTCCTCCTCGTTGACCCACTCATCCAGGCGCTTGTTAACTACGGATTTTGCAGTGTAGGTATTAGGTATTTAACTGGACGTTTTAATACTCACAGTCAACATAGTGCACATAGAATTGCCGGCGTCCATCTAGCTCCTTAATGCTCACAATCTCGGCCAGCGGCCAGTCATCCGTTTTATGCATCCTGACTGGCAAACGACATCCCTCGGTAAGGGCGGCCTGAAATCGGTAAAAATGCAATCAAATCATAAACCACAGAAATCCTTTACACCCACCGTTGACTCGCAAATAGAGGCAACATCGTCGTCAAATTCATATTTATGGTTAATTTTCATTTGTTTATATTTTGTTATTTTTCCCTAAAAAAAACAGGAAGCAGTTAGAGATGATACGCCTTTAGCGAAACTTCGTGCCTATCGGTAGACAGCACAGTGACATCAGCGGTTTAAAAATATCGATGACAATAACAGTGCTGCGCAGCGTCGTCTTTTCTAAGTGCTGCAAAATACAACAACAATTCTAAAGTGTTCTCTTCGGTCCGCTGTGCAATTAAACAATTTCGCCTGCTTACACACAGCTGTAAGATAATAAGAGCACACTTTGCAAATATCCAAATATTAAAGGGACAGGCAGTGTGTTGTTATCGTTTTAATTACCAAACCCCGAAAGGAAAAACGCCGAGAAGGTCAAAAAAATGTACACAGGCGCATACCTGCGCCCGTGTGCCTGTGTGTATGTGCGTGTGTGTTTGTGTGCGTTTGAGTGCGCAGAAAGTTATACAGCTGCCATCGACTGGCGTATTTATCAATAAATAACTAAGGAAAACTCCAGTTACTGGGTAATTGTGCGTATAAGTATTTGGCAAATTTGTCATAATGCCCATAAGTTTGCGAATTAACGGGGGGATATGTGAAAAAACTGTGGCAAAATGACGTGTTTTGCGCTAGTGTTGCCACTGACAACAGCCGCAGGGCTGTCAACTTGCTGAGAAATTTAAAGCAGATTGCTTTTTGTTATTACCAATTAGCTGGTAAAGGGGTATGTAATTTTATTTCAATTATTAATTGAAAACCCAAAGAATTACCTGATTTCGCAGGCCTATCGGGCTTGTCTTTAAACAAATAACAACAGTTGGCAGCCCTAGCATCCAGTGGCAGTTGGCAGCACTGCGCGGCTTGGCAGGCAAGAAAAGAAGGAAAATATGGGAAAAAACTGCTTTTTAAAGAAATGTGAATCCAGTGGGACGCGAAAAGGCCGCTAAAGCGAACAGACACGCCAGCCGCCAACCACCGTCCACCCGCCATTTGTCTGTATAACCACAACAACAACAAATGCTGCAGAACACCCAGTCAGTGGGCCAATGTTTCTCAGTTTTAGTCTCACCTCTCATCCCCAATTCTCCATTTCCCTATTTCAGTTGCAGCTCCGTGCGCACACATTTCCGTATTCCGTTATTCTGGCGATTTAATCCCAAACCCCGTGCCCGGAATTCATGACTTCGAAGGAACCTACGTAAATGCCACGGACAGAGATTGTCGATTCGAGCAGGAGGTGAGCCACTGACGACAGGCCTGTCAAGTGCAGCAGGAGTCCCGAGTGATACGCAATAGGTGGGCCCACCCCGACTCCCAATATCTCATACCATTTAAAAATAAGGAGAAATCGTTAAAAATCGTGAAGATAGTCAGAAGGAATCGAAAACACAGCGGCATAGCACTTGCAGCCGCGGTGGCGACCACACGGCGGCTGGGCAGCTGGGCTTCCTAGGAAAACCGAAGAGAGGCAACAGTTTGTAAGTACTCTAGATATACAGTACTCTAATCAGCGCATATTCTAAAACGACATTTTTAAATAGATTCGAAGAATTCGAATGGCATTAGTTTGTTTCGCTCTTTGCATGCCACCAACCGAAAGAAGATGAACAATGAACAAACGCCGTCATCATCGGACACATCGGCGGATCGTTTGGGATCTGGTGGAGCAGCTGCCAAGCTGCCCACGATCATACCAGACACGCCCATCGTCTCGATTGCCGCTGGAACGATGAGCGAAAGCACTACGACGACCACCGTCACCAAAACTACGCCGACGCCGTTCCCGCAGGAAAAAATTAAGACCATGATGTCAGACCATGTGGCCCAGATGAATGCGCAGTTTGACGAGGCCTCCAAAAGCCAGGAAGCCAAAGGTGACGACGGTCAGAGAGCTGCTGCGACAGTGGCTACCAACCATGTAGCAACTAGCAGCAGTAGGGACAGTGACCTCAAGAAATCATCATCCCCTTGTAATAGCCATAGTACTACTAACCATGCTGCAGATGCTGCCAAAGGTTCAGCAGCAGCGAACGCAGGAGATTCACCCTTCTCACAGGTCTTCGCCATGCTAAAGGATTCGCCAAGTGCGGAACTGTCGCGACCAAACCGCAGAGTCCTCCAGTATGGGGCCACTGCCAAGGGCAAGACCCAGGATGATCAGAATGTCGGCAAGCGACAAAAGAAGAAAAAGGTGAGTGCAGGTCTCCATATTCAACCATATTAAAAGACGTTAAATATATATTTATTTGACATTAAGTTTTAGTTAAATAATCAACGTTATGCATATATTGTTTTCCTCACAAATCCTACAACAAAAATTTCTTTACAAATTTTAATTTACATATCGATATAATTGGATAAACATTCTATTAATATCGACTTGTTACTTTGCGAAAATAGTTTTCCTAACACACTAACACATTTGCACACCCTGCATGCGTAAAAACGAAAACTATAAACTAAAATAAATAAATGTTTGTATTTTATAGCTAATCAATTTTGTTTGCAATTATCTTTCTTAATAAGAAAATCATACAACATAATATAAACTATATTAGGGTTTAATCAGTTTGCATAAAGTTTAGTTTTGCAATATTTTTAAACATGAAAAAAATATTTGGTAATTATTTAACATAGAAATCTACACAATTTAAAAGAGGGATTCGAAATTCCGAATAAAAACTCCATATATTGTACGCTAAATTAAGCGATATCGCAACGACTGACGGGCGCAAGTACAAAAATATATAGCGAACTAATTATGCTTTTATCCCCTCGATATATGTTGGTTGATATACCCCTAACAAAGATAATACTAAGTATAATTTGCAAGCTAAAATCTTTGGTTGGAATAAGTAGACTGAAAGAGCTGCCATAGATGTCATCTCACTCTGGCAAACGAGGTGTTGATACAAGTTCCGAAATTGTACCGCTACCTTTGCACTGATCAAGTGTTTGCACACATGCGCAAATGCCGTAAGAATACCAAGGCAAAACGAAGAAAAGGAAGAAGACCTAAAGAATTTGAAATCTTAATAAAACAGTGTTCATTTGAATTTCTGTAAAGCGCAGTAATTATTTTTCTTGTAAACAGCAAGTGAATAAATCTATTCGAATTCATATTTCGAATCCCAATTTGGCATACTAGGGAAAACATTTAAAACCACAAAGAACTACTTAATCTAACAGTGGCAACAACCGCGGCATTTAACCACACAAATTCCTCGTTTTCCAACCATTATTAATGCAATTCTTTTTTTTTTTCGTGTGAAACACCATATACCTATGTAGTATGTACATGATTTATTTATTTAAGCCGTATGGTATTTAATACTCTCTTCCATAACTCCGCGGCCGTTACTTGAACAGTTTGCGTAGAAAACTTGGAAGTGCATGTGCTGTAAATACGTAGAGCTCCGATCTTTTTCATTTTTCGAGGTTAGGTATGCACAATTGTTTATATGTGTGTGTTGACTAGAATACAAAAACCAAATTACTAACTAGAAAATACGTTTTATTAAAATCGGTTGCAGACAAAATACGATGCTTGGGAAGATAGCGATTTTAATGATCTCGACGACGCATCATTGAAGAAACTTCTCGAGGAGGCCTATTGGTATCGAAATCCTGGGGACAAGAAGAACAAGAGCGAGCGGTTTCTGGTAAGTTTTGAGTAAAGATTACTATATATATGCACATACATATTTCATCCACGTTTGGATTAATTCTTTTGTGGGGAAAGTTCTGCTAAAAACGGTGTAAGAGCCTTAAAATGTGCTTTAAATATCATTTTATATTGATTCTGTTATTTTATTTTTAATTTTTTAGTTGGTTTTTAAAACACATAATATGTTATTTAATTTAAATTCAGAATATGCACAACATATCTAAAGCAGGTTGATAAAATTTCTAATTATTAATACACATTTGTAAAAATTGTTTAGTTTAAAGTATTGTTTTTTTTTTAACGTAGTAGACATTGAATTTGAATCTGTCATATATTAGAATATTGCTCCCAAATTACATCTTCTTAGATCCAATTCTAATAACAGGAAATCATTCAATAAATTTGTATTACCATCTTAACCATCTCTCAACTTCTTAAATATCATCCTCTCAGCAAATGCTCAAAAAGGCTGAGTACGACGAAGAGATCTCTTATCGTGCCATCAAATCCTGCCTCACACTCAACCAATCCGCACTAGCGTCCAGTGCAGCAGCAGGCTCGAGCAGCGGAAGCAGCAGTAGTGCAGGGCACAACAGCAGCTACACCTCTACCAATCACCGCTCCACGGATTCTGCGCAGCGGCATAAGCAGGGCGGCTCCCTGCAGGATCTCGTCGAGGCAGCGCACCGCAGTGAGCTTGCTACCACCTCGGCGGCAGCTGCTGCAGCGACTGCGGCGACAACGGCAGCAACCCAACGTTTCAACTGTGATTACCAGCTGAGTGGCCGCTCCAATCGCCGCCAGCAGCAGCACAACCAAAACGCCATTTCCTCCGCATCCTCATCCAAGAAGATCAAGAACTCATCCGTCTCGGGCAGGCAACGTGAAGGAGGCAGCCTGCCCAGCAGCGTTAACTTCGAGCCGGCAGTTGCTATGGATGCCAAGCAGCAAAAGCAGCAGGCTCAGCTCTCTTCTGAGGCTCCTGTAGGTTCTGGATCAGGATCCAGTGGCAACAAACACCACCAACGCAGCAGCTCCGGCAGCTGCAGCAGCCTGCCAAGTCAGCTTAGTGAACGCGATCCAGAGGCTGCCATCCTTTTCGACATGGATGAGGACGCGGACGGTAGCATCGTTACCGCCGAACAACGCGACTACCTGCTAAAGGTAAGCGATGATACGCTTGAGTTTTGGGAGCTCAAAAAGGATGGCAGTATGTGCGAGATAGGAAGGGCCCCCATTATAGAAGATTTGAACGATGAGGCGGTAAGAGAGGCGCGTTACCGCGATTCCACGGCATTTGGCTGGGTAGCAGCATAATCCCATCAGTGGGTAGTCTGTAGTGGTAGTGGTAGTCCATCTAATCTACCCCGAACTTATACTTACAAACAACTAAACGTTTATTTCTATCATCATATCTATAGAACCTCATAATGTAGTAGAGATTTGTTTGGAAAATTTGTTAATCTTTGCTGCGTTTAAAGGAATAACGATGAACAAGTTTATTCGAATATCCCTTAAACTGGTGTATATTTCGGTATGGTTGCTAATTTGATTGCAACTATTAAAATAGACAGATAACTTTTTATGCATTTAAATATACAAATATTTCGAAATTTGTTAAAATATAATTTTAATAATTTTCCAACTAGAGCAGTGAATACTATCAATTTCAACCTAACTTAATTGACTAATCTAAGTGGTTGTACTTAAACACATTCTAAAGATTAGTTTTAACTCTGAATTTGAAATTTTTCGGAATCCACTATAAATGGCATAAATATTTAATTCCTAATTTAATTTGTTGTACAGCAACTGGAGTTACAGAGCTCCACCATGAAGTTCCTGCTCGACGCCATAACCGGCAAGCAGAAGCAGCCGGCGGAGGCCAGGGATGCCGGTCCCGGTGCCGGTGCCGCCAAAGAGTTCCTAATCGACGATCCGCTGCACTTCTCGGTCCTGGAGGTGTCCGCCAGAAGCCAGCTTCAGCAGCAGCACTATCTGGCCTCTCTATCTGGACAGTTTGGGAACGGCCTGGAGGAGCAGAAGCGCAAGGTTGAGGCCGGATACGTGTCGCTCAACGACAACTACACGGCCTGCTCCTCAGTGTACGGCGGCGGTGCTGGTTCGCCAGCTGCCATCGAGGTCAGCAAACCCTCGACCTCCTCCTCGACCTCCGCGTCGGTCAGCGGCAGCAACTGCGCCACCACTTCCGACGCGCTTTCTAGCGATTTGCGTCCCGCAAAAATTGGACGTATGGTATCTGCAACAGCATCGCCTGCAGCTGCACCGATGGGTGGAAAGGCTAGTACGGTAAGTCAATGTTTTGCTTTTTGAATACTTTTCATGAAGTTCGTATATGAAAAAGAAAGAGTGTGTTGTAGTTTATTTCAGAAAAGGCAGCTACATTATTAAACAGAATGAGATCTAACCAACTCCATTTTATATTGCAGCGCCAGCTGGATGAGAATGGAAATGCATTAAGCGATGGTTTTGGCGGCAACGCAGCCAGTGGAGTCGCCACCAGCAGCAACGGAAGCAATGGAAATGGAAATCAGACTCAGACTCTTATAACCACCACAGTGGGAGCCAGTGCACCCACTACGTCGTCTGCCCACCGTCAGAATAGCGCTTCTACTCTACTCTCTACGGGCACCAACACCACGTCCACGGCCACGGCCATGGCAGCGTTGACTGCATCATACAGTAAGCTGCAGCAGGTATCGGGAGGAGGTGCTGTTGCTGCTGCACCTGGAACTGGCATTGGTCTGCAGCAGCCCACCAAGCAGAAAGCAAAGAAGAAGTCGCAGCAGGAACGCAACACCACGACTGTAGATGTGGAGTCTGTGGCTGGATATCGCGGCAATGATCCTGTTGAGCAACTGGTCAAATATATCGAGAACGATGTCAACGGTGGCAGCAGTGCGGCGGGACAGCGGAAGAAAGATCGCAAGAAGCAGAATAAGCTGAAGAAGAGCAACTCATTGGAAGAGCTGCGTAGCTGCTCAAAAATGGAAGTTGACGATCTGAAGCGCCAGTCGGCGACCACAGATATGATGCGCCAGAAAAAGGGAACAAACAATGCCGCCTCGGTTGGTTCATCTTCCTCGGCATCCGGTTCCTCTAGCAGCGGCAAACAGAACTCGGCCTCCGTGGCGGACATAAGCAAGAACTACAACAAGGAGCAGCAGCAGTCAGTGCAAGTCAGAAATAGCAATAATCCGGGATCGCAGCAGCGTAAGGGCGAGCGGCGATCGTGGGGCACAGAGGAGTTGCAGTACTTGGGAGATCATCAGGAAATATCCTCCGCCTGGTCGGAGCCAGAGACTCTAGGCCAGAAGCCATTGCCTCTGGCGCTGCCTGCCTTAGCCCGCATGTCCGAGGTGGATGCCCTCAACACCGTTCTAACGGAGACCGCCGAATTTCATGTTGTAACCAAGAAGAAGAAACCAAAGAAGCAGCGTGCTGTTACAATGGACGATGCGGCTGTGGCTGCAGCTGCCACAACCGGCGGCAATTTGCAACGCATGCAGCAGATCACCAAGTCAGCTTCCTCTAACATGATGTCCCAGCGGATGCATTACTATGCCCCGTACAATAGCAACAACGGAGGAGGTAATGGAAATTATAAACAGCAACAACAATATCAGGAGCATTACCAGCCTCAGCAGGGTCAGCATCACCATCACCACCATCATCATCACCACCATCATCACCACCACGGCGGCTCGGCGGTCTCCAACCAGGTGGACAGCTCACGTCGCAAGTCTACGTCGTCGATGCCTCCATCGGAGAAATCAGATTCCAGTGATCTCGACTCGGTCCACTCGCTGCCCATCCAGACGGGTAAAAAGAAGAGCCTTGGCGGTGGCAACAATAAACAGCGTGCGGCGCAGGCCGCCAGTCAGCGCCAGTCCAAACAGAACGATTCTCCAGCTCCTATTTCATATGCCGATATCGCACGAAGCAAACAGGAGGCTCTAAACAACGCTACGGCCAGCGATACAGAGTTGGAGCTGGGCGACAAGTTCCAGAGCAAAAGTGGTGGAAAATTCAAGTCGAGGCCCGACTTTCCAGAGCTGCCGGGTGCTACTACGCCAGTGTCTGGAAGTGGTTGTGCCACCAACCAGCCTACAGTTGCCAGCAACTCAAACACCGCGCCGTCCTCGTCCAGTTCGATCAGCTATTCCCAGAGCCTGAATGCCACGCCTGCCAGCAGCAGTAGCGATGCAGAGTCCACCAATTCCCCAGAGTTGAAAGCTCAGGGGCCTGCCAGTAACCTGACTACGCCCACTCTGCCGGCGGCCTTGAGCAGCAGTACCAGCAGTTCCGCCGCCAGCACCTCTTCCACATCATCTTCGCCGCCAGCTCTGCAGAAATCCAAGAGCGTGGAGCACGATGCCAGCTACAGCTGCAACAGCAGCAATCTGGACCAACAGTATCCGGCGCTGGAGAAGACCGTCAAGAGGCATAGCACCAACAATGTGTCGGTGGCCACATCTGCATCAGTCTCATCTTCGTTGTACAACTTCGCAGCAGCAGCCAAGCAACAGGTGGTGGAGAAAGTCTTTTCGACCACAACTCTGCCTACAGCAGCAACAACTACCTCAACTGCAGTCGCAGCCACAGCTCTAGCTACAGTTCCTGGTTCGTCCTCATCCTTAACTCACGCGTTGACTCAAGCTTCGACTCCATCTCCTGCTTTAGTTTTATCCTCAGCCAAGGCAAAGGTCAAGCCAAAGGAATTATCTCCCAGCAGCGTCAAAAAGCCAACGAAGCCTAGTCAAGAAGAGTCTTTAATCAGTCTGTCCACCACGCCCAAGGCGACCACCAGCACCAGTACGACTACCACGCAGAAGACCACCGCTGCCACGCAGACAGAGGGTGCAAAGAAGCTGATCAGCGGCATCCACAAGCTGCCCAGCAGTAGCTGTATTGCTAAGGGGTCTGGGGCCGTTTCAGAAGTCACTGCTGGCAGACGTGCTGTAATTATACTTAACGATGATCGCGATGCTGGCAGAAGCAACAACGAGTTCATCTTTGGTGATTTTAACGAGGATGAATTGAAGCTCTTCGATGATAGCGTGGAGGATGATGATGACGACCAGAACAAACAGGCCTCAAATAAACAGCAGCAAACGGAGTCTGAATCGGACGTAGGCCAAGATGACACCGAAGACGCAGACCAAGAACATGAAAAAGAAGTCGAAAACAAGACAAAACGTGCAGAGAAACTGGAGTCGCAGCAGGATGTGAGTAGTAACGATAATCGGCTGAATGACTCAGGTGCCTCTTCGGATGCAGTCAACAGCCCAGCCAGCCTCCATATGCTCTCGATTTCTGCGGAGGAGGCTCAATCGTCGCCGAATGCAGGGGCAACCGCTACCTCATCGAGTGCCGTCAGTCTTATTAACTCGTCCACGCCATCTGGTTCGTCATCCGCATCGGCGAGCACTTCCACCTCATCTTCCTCCGTGTCGATTTCAGCGTCCTCGAGCGGCAACGGTGCCGCCTGCCTGGCATCAATTTCAGGTATGCTTGGAGGAGTTGCCAATCAGTCGGGAGATAGTGGCATTTATGCTGCCGCCAATACTTCCATTAAGGAGCACGTCAACAATTTCCTATGTAAGGCCAGGACCAGTGAAGAGACGCTCCCAAGTGCCAGCTCCATTTCGATGCAGCAGCTTGAAACGTGCAACGATATTGAAGCGGCAATCATTGCCGCCGCACGTGCTGCTGCCGCTGCCCGAAGCACTAGCTGCAGTCGTAGCAACTCACAAGATCAGGAGACAACTCATTCGCAAGGTAACACAAAGGCGAATCCCAATTCCAATATGGAGGCGAAGGTTGCCCTGCCTGTGTTCCTGACTTACAACGACGACGACGAGGAAGACGATGAAAGCTTGCAGGAACTAAGCTTCTTGGCTGACTTCAAGGCGGAATCAGTCACGGCGGAGGAAGTTACTCAGCAGCATTCAGAACCTTCGCGGTCGGCAGTATTGACAAACACAGAATTGATCGTCGACTACATCGCCAACTGTGAGTACTTGGGTTTGGGTTTCTTTTGAGATTGTTGTCAATAATCCTTAGATTTTGGATTATTTTTATTATTAACTTGTTTTTTTCCACTTCCTTAGCCTGGAATGCCATTGCCAGTAGCAAGTATGTGACATACTATAAAGATCAGGAGCAGGAGACCTAGGAATCACACGAATCAGCAGTAGCTGCAACATCACCGACACATTTGAAAGTAGGAAAATCGTCGGTAACAGCAGAGACACCAGCAACACCAATCACTATAGCAACGTCAGCAGTATCGGCAGCAATTTAACGAGAGCACTCAACATCGTCAGGAAACACGAGAAGAGTTTAGTTTGAATTGCATGTTCTGATGTTTATATATATTTTTTTTAATTTGTGCTGGGTCATCGTTTATACAACAACCGATATCGTACATACACTATAAATAATTGCTATACCAATACGCTCTTATGCTGATTAATGTATCGAATCGATAGAATAACTATTGATAAAAATTTACAAGCGCGAGAGCGGCTACGGAGAATTAGGGTAGACAAAGCTATCCGATGAGGCCAGTGTAAATGAGGGTGTTTGTGTTTCCTGTGTGAATGTGAGCGAGTGGCTGAGATCAAAATATATTTAGTTGCAGGTCGATAATATGATTAAAAATGGGGAATTTCCGTTCAAACAGATGGAAAAAAGGAAAATAAATGGAAGAAAGTGAAGGATGGGAGGGAATGCTGTAAGTGGATATTTATTAAACGTTAATTGACCGCGATCCAACCGTTTTTTTCGCCACAAGATGCGATGCATAGTGATGTTAAATCAAGCATTTTGATCTGCTTTTGTTATTTTAAAACCTTCTGGCTCCTTAAAACGCAACGTTTTACAATTACTATTACTATTACTATACATTAATTTTATTACTACAATTATCCAACCGGTTTTTTTTGTCTTTGTTTCATACGCTTGACCACTGTGGGGTGAAAACCAGAAAATATAACTAATCCTAGTTCTTAAGTGAGTCAACGTCGCGTGTACATATGAGACCAGAATTTAAGAAGGTAAATCGACCTAGGAGTTTTTGTGTTAGAGAGAGAGGAAAGAAAGCCCCACGGAAAATATTTGATATGTGTGTGTATGATAACGACTATTTAAAGTAAACTATGTAAGGCCCGCTCCTTAGCTCCGGCTAGCCATAAATAAGCCTCACGAGGAAAGAAGTATGTTAAACATAATATTTGAAAACAGAAAACCACAAAACCAGTAAAAAAATATCATGCACTTACGAAAAATGCCGCCGTTTAGTTTAGCATCGAGAGCCTCAGTAAGCATCTCCAAAAGTAACAGAAGGATATAGTTATCGTAACCATTAAAACATAAAAAATCGCAGAAAAATTATTTAAATTTATAAAAGAACAGTAGAGGAGAAAATGATTTGGAGACGGAGAAACAAAATAAACGTTAAGTGAACTCGTAGCATAAAAAGCGCAACTAAATTGCTATATCTAGGAATATACATTATATACGCGCATCTATTACAGTAACTTTTTTTTGATAATGCAAAACGTTAACCGTTTAAAATCGAGTACGTAAGAGCAGGTGGTAACAATTTAGTGTGAACAAATGTCAGAATAAAAATCACAGAAACAATGCAGAAAAGAAATGATCTAAAGGGCGGAACGAGCTAATCATTATTAAAGAACCCGATCTGGAATACCTACTTTTAAGACCGAATAAACAGAACAAACAGTGTGAAATGTTTTCAAGTATACATCTGCAAAACTGTTATGCTTCAATGGGAATTTTATGTGCTGTATATTTTGAGAATAAACGTAAAGTAAAATGGCAACAAAAACAACAAAGCGAAGACAAATATTCAATATCATTACACACCCCGAATCCTGTATCCTTAACCATCTAAACACTGCATGCTACACTCGTCCAGAGCTGTTGCTGTACCGCTCTAAACCATGTAAACCATCCGAAACAATCAAAAATTAAAACCACAAAAAGTTAAACTAAATTGCAGGGAGGATGATAATGGAAAATATGAAGTAAATATGTATTTGTACCACACGCTGTTAAGGAGAATCTATGAAAACTACACTAGTTTACGAATTCGTCCTTTTGGCGGTTATTTTCAAGAAACATTATATTCTAATTAGAGGCTGCTGAATACGAAAGTGTTTAAATTAAGCGAACTAAAGGTTTAATCAGATGAAAATGTATACTATTATTCATTCATATTGAAGGTATACATTATTGATGATTGAAGCTTTGGCTCTCTAAATGTCTTTTGAAAACCTATTTTCTTTTTGAATATATCAAAAAATTCGTTAGCTATTTTTTTCAATATACATTTTATATTTCAGCAAACTCAAATTAGTCTAAGAAAAGTGTTTTAAAAGAAGTACATCTCTCTTGTAAACTAGTGTTATATACATCCACTAAGTCAAACTAAGCCAATGTACACTGCAACAATTTTAGACAATTGAAAACTAACAAGGAACACAAATCAGAGAATATGAGAACATTGATAAAACAAATTGAAAATAAATTATACGCTAGGCCATTAACTAAAACTAATATTGAAATATTATAATTAACATATAAACAAAGGAAAAAAACAAAAAAAAGTTTCTTATGTGTGTATTTATGTAAAATATATATTGTAGCTGTGTGTATGTGTATATAAATAGTAAATTGTGACTCGAAAAACAAAACCAAAAAAAAAGATGAAGGATCAGGACTGTCGGATATTTATTTACCCCGCTACATAGTTGTCCTACTTTTTCGATAATATTCGTATGACGAGGGTAGCTCGAGCTTGGAGTTTGAAAGCTGTGTTGTCGGCTAACAAACCAAAACTAGAATTGATTTAGTTTTGCCTTTTGATTTTGCGTAGCTAGTGTATTGTTCAATTTATCGGTTATTGGATATTGGATATCGGTGTAATCGCTCGAGTTGCGTACAGTTCAACCTGCATTATTTACGTCTTGAGTGCACTTGTTGAGTTTGGAATACAAAGTAAAACAACAACAATAATTGGGGACTGTGTGGACTGGCGAGAATTGGAGCAGAAAACAGCGCAGTGGGAACTATAATCATAGTTATAAATACTTATACAAAATCTACAACTAAGTCTATTTACTACTGACGAAGCTTATAATCCTCGATTTTCGATCCCAAAAAAAATCTACAACACCATCCCTATTCATAACTTATACATACCAATATTTGTACATGCGAACAAACAAAAAAAAGCAAAAGGCTTTAGAATTTAATCGAAAATGAAGCGATTACCGATTAACTAATCGAAGAAACAAGTGAAAAACGTATTTGAATTGAAAATCGAAATTTAATTTAAATTGTGTTTAAAATATAATATACTGGGGAGAAGTGTATTTCCGTGGAGAATCGAAATAAAAATTAACAAAATGAAAACGACTGCATCCGGTTTCCAAGCTTTTCCTATACTATCACACGCATTGGAATGATTTTGTGGTTGAATGCTAGTAGTGGTTGTGGTATCATTTCCTTATATTTAATACTCGCGCCTGGGAACCGGCAAGAGACGACTGGGATTCATAGGAACATTTATAGGCATGTGCTTGCGACGCCTATTCAAGCGGATGAGAGCGTCCACGACTACATTGATGGCCATGTTGCGATCGCCGCTGATGAACATGTTGTCTAGATGATCGCAAAATGATTCAAAGCGGCGACGTTGACGCTCCTTTGGCGGCATCCTCTGAACCTCTTCGTCCTCATGGTAATCCGCATCGAACTCAAACTGCTGTTCGTTGAATATAGCTTCCGGCTCCTTTTCGAAACTCATCACCTTAACCAATTGATTGAGCAACTGAAATTTGTACAACTTGGTGGGCTTGTGCTCCTGCATTCGCAATTGTGGCAACTTGGACCGAATTATTTTAAGATCGAGAGCCTGAGCTTGACTTCGGTTTTCCCGCTGCCTCATCATAGAGACCTCATGCAGATGACGGTAGTCATCGATTAGAGAGGTTCGCTCCAGGCCCACGGAGGCCAGCTCCTCATCGGTAAGTTGATCGATCCTGTAGAGGCCCGCTAGGGCCTCATCCTTCAAATGGCAACAACCGGCGAACTTTAGTTTTCGAGATTTGGGATCGGAAATGCCGGTGGTCTTGTCAACCGGCTGTTTGTCCATTTTAGCGGTGATGTATATTATACTAATCTGAAATATATGGGGCTAACTGCTGTTGGAATTTTTGGTAAATTTCTGATCAAATTTGGAGAATACTTAGTGGAGATATAAATCAGAGACTACTGTTACTACACGATTTTACATTTATAACGAGATTTTTTGGTTTTAACATGACAGAAAAATTATTTTCTTAATAACTTCATTTTTTGCCCATTTTTGAAAATTTTGATGATGGTACCCCTTATCAAAAATGCGAAATTTGGGCCAAAATCGACTTTCCCAAAATCGAAAAACCAGTGATAGGGGTGGTTAGTGTTGTCGTTAGCAACACAAAACAGTCGTTCTTTTGGCTGTGCGTCTTGTTTTGGCCGAGCTAGAGCTAAAAACCCGCGATAAAAGTTGCAAATTTCTGTTAAAAATGGGTTTCCCAATATTTTACTCCTTAAATTAGAGCTCGCATCAAAAAATCAGAGCAATAATGATAAAAGCAAGTATAGGGGTTTTAAGATTCGGTAGTTAGCTGCACAAAACAGTCTTTGTTTTAGCTGTGCAGCTTGTTTTGACAAAGTTAGAGCTAAGAAACGGCCAAAAAGCCGGCCTCTCTGCTGTCACCCGACGTATACGTTATTTTGGGCACAAAAAAATCAGTTTTCTGGCCATAGCACATCCAAAAATGGCCCAAACTAGGAATGTAATACCTCGTAGGGCTCCTAAGTTGATTGCCATGATTCCCAATTGGTTTGCATTCAAATCTGGGAAACTTCATTTTTGGCCCATTTTTGAAAATTTTGATGATGGTACCCCTTATCAAAAATGCGAAATTTGGGCCAAAATTGACTTTCCCAAAATCGAAAAACCAGTGATAGGGGTGGTTAGTGTTGGTCGTTAGCAACACAAAACAGTCATTGTTTTAGCTGTGCGTCTTGTTTTGGCCGAGCTAGAGCTAAAAACCCGCGATAAAAGTTGCAAATTTCTGTTAAAAATGGGTTTCCCGATATTTTACTCCTTAAATTAGAGCTCGCATCAAAAAATCAGAGCAATAATGATAAAAGCAAGTATAGGGGTTTTAAGATTCGGTAGTTAGCTGCACAAAACAGTCTTTGTTTTAGCTGTGCGGCTTGTTTTGACAAAGTTTGAGCTTAAAAACCGCAACAAATACTGAATTTTGATTATTTAGCCATTAAATCAGCACTCGCAGCAAAAGAGCAGTACATTAATGTAAAAAGTGGGTATAGGGGCTTTAAGTGTTGGTTGTAAACTGTATAAAACAGTCTTTGTTTTAGCTGAGCGGCTTGTTTTGACAAAGTTAGAGCTAAAAAACCACAACAAATACTGAATTTTGATTATTTAGCCATTAAATCAGCACTCACGGCAAAAGAGCAGTACACTAATGTAAAAAGTGGGTATAGGGGCTTTAAGTGTTGGTTGTAAACTGTATAAAACAGTCTTTGTTTTAGCTGAGCGGCTTGTTTTGACAAAGTTAGAGCTAAGAAACGGCAAAAAAGCCGGCCTCTCTGCTGTCACCCGACGTATACGTTATTTTGGGCGCAAAAAAATCAGTTTTCTGGCCATAGCACATCCAAAAATGGCCCAAACTAGGAATGTAATACCTCGTAGGGCTCGTAAGTTGATTGCCATGATTCCCAATTGGTTTGCATTCAAATCTGGGAAACTTCATTTTTGGCCCATTTTTGAAAATTTTGATGATGGTACCCCTTATCAAAAATGCGAAATTTGGGCCAAAATTGACTTTCCCAAAATCGAAAAACCAGTGATAGGGGTGGTTAGTGTTGGTCGTTAGCAACACAAAACAGTCATTGTTTTAGCTGTGCGTCTTGTTTTGGCCGAGCTAGAGCTAAAAACCCGCGATAAAAGTTGCAAATTTCTGTTAAAAATGGGTTTCCCGATATTTTACTTCTTAAATTAGAGCTCGCATCAAAAAATCAGAGCAATAATGATAAAAGCAAGTATAGGGGTTTTAAGATTCGGTAGTTAGCTGCACAAAACAGTCTTTGTTTTAGCTGTGCGGCTTGTTTTGACAAAGTTAGAGCTAAGAAACGGCCAAAAAGCCGGCCTCTCTGCTGTCACCCGACGTATACGTTATTTTGGGCACAAAAAAATCAGTTTTCTGGCCATAGCACATCCAAAAATGGCCCAAACTAGGAATGTAATACCTCGTAGGGCTCCTAAGTTGATTGCCATGATTCCCAATTGGTTTGCATTCAAATCTGGGAAACTTCATTTTTGGCCCATTTTTGAAAATTTTGATGATGGTACCCCTTATCAAAAATGCGAAATTTGGGCCAAAATTGACTTTCCCAAAATCGAAAAACCAGTGATAGGGGTGGTTAGTGTTGGTCGTTAGCAACACAAAACAGTCATTGTTTTAGCTGTGCGTCTTGTTTTGGCCGAGCTAGAGCTAAAAACCCGCGATAAAAGTTGCAAATTTCTGTTAAAAATGGGTTTCCCGATATTTTACTTCTTAAATTAGAGCTCGCATCAAAAAATCAGAGCAATAATGATAAAAGCAAGTATAGGGGTTTTAAGATTCGGTAGTTAGCTGCACAAAACAGTCTTTGTTTTAGCTGTGCGGCTTGTTTTGACAAAGTAAGAGCTAAAAAACCACAACAAATACTGAATTTTGATTATTTAGCCATTAAATCAGCACTCGCAGCAAAAGAGCAGTACACTAATGTAAAAAGTGGGTATAGGGGCTTTAAGTGTTGGTTGTAAGCTGTATAAAACAGTCTTTGTTTTAGCTGTGCGGTTTGTTTTGACAAAGTTAGAGCTAAGAAACGGCAAAAAAGCCGGCCTCTCTGCTGTCACCCGACGTATACGTTATTTTGGGCGCAAAAAAATCAGTTTTCTGGCCATAGCACATCCAAAAATGGCCCAAACTAGGAATGTAATACCTCGTAGGGCTCCTAAGTTGATTGCCATGATTCCCAATTGGTTTGCATTCAAATCTGGGAAACTTCATTTTTGGCCCATTTTTGAAAATTTTGATGATGGTACCCCTTATCAAAAATGCGAAATTTGCGCCAAAATTGACTTTCCCAAAATCGAAAAACCAGTGATAGGGGTGGTTAGTGTTGGTCGTAAGCAACACAAAACAGTCATTGTTTTAGCTGTGCGTCTTGTTTTGGCCGAGCTAGAGCTAAAAACCCGCGATAAAAGTTGCAAATTTCTGTTAAAAATGGGTTTCCCGATATTTTACTCCTTAAATTAGAGCTCGCATCAAAAAATCAGAGCAATAATGATAAAAGCAAGTATAGGGGTTTTAAGATTCGGTAGTTAGCTGCACAAAACAGTCTTTGTTTTAGCTGTGCGGCTTGTTTTGACAAAGTTAGAGCTAAAAAACCACAACAAATACTGAATTTTGATTATTTAGCCATTAAATCAGCACTCGCAGCAAAAAGAGCAGTACACTAATGTAAAAAGTGGGTATAGGGGCTTTAAGTGTTGGTTGTAAACTGTATAAAAACAGTCTTTGTTTTAGCTGAGCGGCTTGTTTTGACAAAGTTAGAGCTAAGAAACGGCAAAAAAGCCGGCCTCTCTGCTGTCACCCGACGTATACGATATTTTGGGCGTAAAAAAATCAGTTTTCTGGCCATAGCACAGCCAAAAATGGCCCAAACTAGGAATGTAATACCTCGTAGGGCTCGTAAGTTGATTGCCATGATTCCCAATTGGTTTGCATTCAAATCTGGGAAACTTCATTTTTGGCCCATTTTTGAAAATTTTGATGATGGTACCCCTTATCAAAAATGCGAAATTTGGGCCAAAATTGACTTTCCCAAAATCGAAAAACCAGTGATAGGGGTGGTTAGTGTTGGTCGTAAGCAACACAAAACAGTCATTGTTTTAGCTGTGCGTCTTGTTTTGGCCGAGCTAGAGCTAAAAACCCGCGATAAAAGTTGCAAATTTCTGTTAAAAATGGGTTTCCCGATATTTTACTCCTTAAATTAGAGCTCGCATCAAAAAATCAGAGCAATAATGATAAAAGCAAGTATAGGGGTTTTAAGATTCGGTAGTTAGCTGCACAAAACAGTCTTTGTTTTAGCTGTGCGGCTTGTTTTGACAAAGTTAGAGCTAAAAAACCACAACAAATACTGAATTTTGATTATTTAGCCATTAAATCAGCACTCGCAGCAAAAGAGCAGTACACTAATGTAAAAAGTGGGTATAGGGGCTTAAAGTGTTGATTGTAAGCTGCATAAATCAGTCATTGTTTTAGCTGTGCGGCTTGTTTTGACAAAGTTAGAGCTAAGAAACGGCAACAAATACTGAATTTTGATTATTTAGCCATTAAATCAGCACTCGCAGCAAAAGAGCAGTACACTAATGTAAAAAGTGGGTATAGGGGCTTTAAGTGTTGGTTGTAAGCTGTATAAAACAGTCTTTGTTTTAGCTGTGCGGCTTGTTTTGACAAAGTTAGAGCTAAAAAACCACAACAAATACTGAATTTTGATTATTTAGCCATTAAATCAGCACTCGCAGCAAAAGAGCAGTACACTAATGTAAAAAGTGGGTATAGGGGCTTTAAGTGTTGGTTGTAAACTGTATAAAACAGTCTTTGTTTTAGCTGAGCGGCTTGTTTTGACAAAGTTAGAGCTAAGAAACGGCAAAAAAGCCGGCCTCTCTGCTGTCACCCGACGTATACGATATTTTGGGCGTAAAAAAATCAGTTTTCTGGCCATAGCACAGCCAAAAATGGCCCAAACTAGGAATGTAATACCTCGTAGGGCTCGTAAGTTGATTGCCATGATTCCCAATTGGTTTGCATTCAAATCTGGGAAACTTCATTTTTGGCCCATTTTTGAAAATTTTGATGATGGTACCCCTTATCAAAAATGCGAAATTTGGGCCAAAATTGACTTTCCCAAAATCGAAAAACCAGTGATAGGGGTGGTTAGTGTTGGTCGTTAGCAACACAAAACAGTCGTTCTTTTGGCTGTGCGTCTTGTTTTGGCTGAGCTAAAGCTAAAAACCCGCGATAAAAGTTGCAAATTTCTGTTAAAAATGGGTTTCCCGATATTTTACTCCTTAAATTAGAGCTCGCATCAAAAAATCAGAGCAATAATGATAAAAGCAAGTATAGGGGT